TTACCTTAGCCGACCGAAAGCGAAACGAAGAGATTCGCAATATGGCAGGATTGAAAGATGACCTTATCACAAAAATTGATAGGGGCGTACTCCAATGGTTTGGGCACGTTGAACGAATGAGTGAAGACCGAATGGTGAAGAAAATATATAGAGCGAAAGTAAATATTAAAAGGTGTCGAGGTAGACCGAGACTAACTTTCGAAGACCATGTGAGCAAATTGCTCGAAGAGGGGAGGGTCAAGAGTACTCGGATACCTAGACGTGCATGTATGAAGAAGTTAATGAACCTGAAGGAAGCGAAAGAGGTATGTAAGGATCGTGACACTTGGCGATCTGTTCTCTCTGGCTACCCCGTTAGGGATTGTGCGTGAAGATAAGTTAGTAAGTAAGTATGCCTATATTTCTATTAGAGATGGGCCGAATATGGATTTCACCGAATACGAATATTCGGCCGAATGTTCGGTAAAATTTTTACCGAACCGATTTTTACCGTAAAGTACGCGGGCTTCGCGCCGGACCCTGCCTCTTGCTCCCCCGCCAAACCTGATATGTTATTACATTATTTAATACTGAGCAAATTACCGATAGGTGCTTATGTTTTGACTATTTTTGTGAGAAAAAAAAGTAACTCCTAGTGTTATTCTTATTGAACATGGATAATTATGTGATAAAAATGAGTGGCAGGAGATATACCATTTGGACTGATAAAGTGAAATGTACTATGTATAATGTAATGCAATAATTTTTTTATTACAAAAAATATATCGAGCTTTCTATTTGCTATAATTGAAAATAAATTTACAGTGCCTCTAAAACATTATGCTATACAAGTAGATTTAACCCATAAATAAAATATACTTTCAACAGTAAAATTATGAAAGACATGGCATTACTCAATTCGTACATTTAAATACAGTGGACACCTTGAGTACCACTTTAACGAATATTCGGTGATTTAGCCGAATATTCGGCCGAATACGAATATTCGGTAAAGCTGCCAAATATGCCGAATACCGAATATAAAACGAATATTCGGCCCATCCCTAATTTCTATAGTATATTATAGTTCTTTGAGACATATCGCCGGTCCCTTGCCACTTAATTTTACTGATCCGCCTATGTCAGTTAATCTTATTCTTCTGCGGATATCCTCTTTATGATTTTTTTATTTTAAAATACGATTACTCTGCTAAATTATTGTAACATGTATTTTTATTTTTATTCCTAAATTGGCCAATTTTTCTGTATTTAAATTACAAGTATATATTACTCGCATTACTTTATGTTGAGTACGCACACGCGTTCAGTGACATATCTAAGCATACAACATTATTTCTAAGAAAACCGTTTGCTGTGAACGAAATGTAGGTATTGTTGGCGGTGGTTATAAAAGTAGCAAGCCTTGCTTTATTTCTAATCCAATTAATGAAAAATATAACCAGTATTACGGAAAGAAACATTAATACTTTACAATTAATTTAACTTCCCCATGAATATTAAATATTTTCACTGGCCTTACAGATAAACCTCATTATGTAAAGACATTGGAGTCCTCATTAACTCATTTTAATATTCTTTTTACCCCCGGCAAAAAGGGGGTGTTATAAATTTGACCGCTATGCGTGCGTGCGAGCGTGTGAGCGTGCGTGCGTGCGTGCGAGCGTGCGTGCGTGCGTGCGTGCGGTCTTTTGCTTGCTTGCGTGCGTGCTTGCTTGCGTGCGTGCGTGCTTGCGTGCGTGCGTGCGTGCGTGCGTGTGTGTGTCTGTCTGTGGCACCGTGGTGGCACTTAAACTGGTAAAACGATTTGTGTGCGGTTTTTTTGATAATTAATAAAATCAGAATTTACTTTGCCATTATAATAAAAATATTAATAGTTACTTTGCAACCATCCGCTCAATAAACTAAAATGATGTGTCTTACCTAGTTTGAATAGCACCTTCCGCCTTCCCTCAATTGCGTGCACTAATCCCAGTACAACTACTCCCAACACCACTATTCTAGGAAAGACACACCATCGACGATAATACGACACGTGTTTCGCCTCTACACGAGGCATCTTCAGGTGATGTAGACTCCACTTTATTTAGCGGTTAGCCGCTGTAGATCTTCTCTTATCTTATCCTACGATATACGATCTTCGTCTACGTCACCATTTACCATCATCTGGAATTGCAGTTAAGCGCTGGCCTAGAGTAATTTAAAAAAAGAAGATGATTTTATACTTAATTATATAGACAATATTCTAATTAGTTCTTTGCGGTAGGTAGTTTGTCATCAGAATCTTATTAGCATGCCACGTAAGGGTTGTCAATGAAAATTATCAGACGTGGATACCGATAAGTACGCTAAGTACGCAGTTTGCGTGACTCACAGCGAAACAGCACGTGGCTAATTAACGCGGTTGATGAGCAAGTCGCCAGCTACCGCGCAATTGATTTGCGACAGACATGATGTCAAGTGATGTACTATAATTGCAGTCGAGGAACATGAAACAAAATAAGAAATTTCATGAACGCACTACGCGGCATACTTCCCTATACCATCTACACCATCTGGATGCTTGGCGGTCCACTACTGTACGTTTCACTAGGAGTTTTCTTCAACGTACGACCTCTCTGTGGAATAATTTACCACCGGCGATTTTTCCGAACCGATACGACCTAGGGACCTTCAATAAAAAAGCTTACTTCTTTCTTAAAGGCCGGCAACGCACCTGCAATTCCCCTGGTGTTGCAGTTGTTCATGGGCGGCGGTAGTGAACCGTATACTCGTTTGCCCCTCTCCTATAAAAAAAGTAAGACAACAACCGTAAGAAACAATGTACAAATCAACAAAGAAGGAAGGTCCCTTGAATGTCCCTAAGCCCCTACTTACTGTCAAGTGAACTGTTTAGCTTATAAGACGTTTTAGTTTGATTTTAATAGTCAAAGTCTAAGTCAAAATTGTCCTTTACAAAGCACATTTTAAAAGTCAAGAAAGGTACGCCATCGCTTAAACAAGTCCTTAGCAGGCGTTCTTGGGAGTAGAAGCACCAAAAAAAAAATGAATTTTGCCCATTAGTAAAATCAATCGTTACAAATTTTTTTAAGCGACGGTAGCCTAATGGCGGGACGCGTACCGCGAACTCAAAAAGGTCGTGGGTTCGAATCCGCCATTCGACTACTGGCGTGAACCACTCGTAACACAAGCAATTTAAGCTTACCACGAGTGGTTAAGGAGAATATTAGTAATGTTTATATAGCATTGTAAGTATTCTTTAAAAAAAAATAATGTATAGATTTTACATTATCATTTATCATCATGTTATAAATATAATGCTTTATATAATATTTGTGTTTATGATTTTGTCTGGAACATTCGGACAATGCTTCAGATGTCCCACAAGGACATCAATTATTACGCCATGACGTCATCACAACCTTATGCTAAGCAGATGTGTTGATATTTTAAGTGTTATTTATTTGTCGCCTGATCTGTGACTTCTGCTTTAAAAGTTTTTCTATGGCTCCATTAAAGTACAGTTACAAAAAAATATATTATTATAACCAAAAATTGAATTACATTTTCACCGTTTGCAATATTTTAAAATGATCTTATTAAAATGGATGTTGGCAGTTGTTCGCAGAAATTATTTTATCAAAGTTAATGTTAACAATCGGCTTCGAAATTTATTTTAAATTTTGAAGCCGATCGTGAAGAAAATTTTTTTTAAAATGATTCGATACTTTATTTTCATTTCTCTTAAATCGCAATATCGACTTTCATAATATGCAGGAATGAGAAACGAGAGAGTCGTTAAGGGGTTGTGATCAATTCCGTAAAGAGAGAGGGACCTTCGCCAAATATTGAAAGGATCACCACGTTTCAACCACGACATTTTTTTGCTACAGCCCTACTATAATCGCTGCATGAGCATGAGCATTATGACTCCGGTGATAAGACAACTATTACCATGCCGACACTTCTAGCTTTTCAGAGCGTAAATACATTAGTTAGTGTAAATACTATATAAATGAAGCCAGCCATTACATATTGCTTATTAAAATCATCAAAGTAGCTTAGTGGTTTCAACTTTCAACCGTTTTCATTTATAATAATTTGATTCTCCTCACAAACTAATACGAAGTCCTAGCGTAATTCCCCCTTATATCCATTAATAATTTTTTGTGCGAGCAACACTGGCATCGACCGAATGGCATACCGACCGACCGACCGTGGCTATGGAATAAGTGCGGTGCGGGGGTCGAGGGGCGCGCACCGCTGTCAAATCGAATTATTTTCTGAGTTACGATTCGCTTTTATTTAGATGGAAAAGCTTTTTCCTGACTTAATTATTTCGTAATTTAACAAATTAGTGGTGACTTAATAAGCACGAAGCTAGAATCAATTTTCGTACCTACGTTACTCAGATCAGTCGCTGCGGGGGGAATTCGATTGCTATTTTTGTTTAGTATCCCAGTTCCACAGTAAATATTGTTTTAGTGACGAAACGCGTCGATGCATTCGTTTTTTCCGTTCTTTTCTCGTCTCCGTTGCAGTTTTTGGGCCGTGAAGCGATTGCAAATTTACAGTGTTTAGTTGCAAAAACATTTCGAAATCGCGTCTTTCGATCTTACATTCCGTGCCAATGCGAGTACAAAAACTGTTTTCGTGTCCTAAATACAGTGCCAAATTTTGTTACATATTTTTAAATTTCATAGAGAAAAGAAACATAAATCATAATAGGTAATGAGATTTGTTTTGATGTGATTAGAAAGTTTTATTAGAAATGTAATTATTTTAATAAGATGCTAGTGAACAAAAATTTTACTTTCATGAATATATAAACAAAAAAATATTTTCTGTAAGTGTATGTGTAAGTGAACCTAAATGGCAGTTTTAGAAGTGAAATTGTCGATGTTTAGTGTGAATCAGTGATGAGGCGGGTATTTGGAGTGTGCTCCGATGGCTGGGTGCTCTGCGGACAGAATGTGAGCTGCCAAATGTAGCTGGATGTCTAGATGTTGTTTGTATGTTTGTTTCTTTCTTGTTTTTATTTTTATTTCACACCCCTCAGTTAAAATAACATGTTTACATTATAATATTCATAATTTTCTAACATTTCCATGCTTCAGTGTTATGTGTGATTTATAAAATATTAACTGTTTTTTTTTGTGTTATTTGTTTTGTTCAACATTCTTGTTTTCATTATAAAATGATGTTTTTAATTAAAGGGAATGTTTAATTTTTCATATTTTGTTAATTCTTTAATTTACATGTAAAAGTACAATTAGTAGTTGTATCAATATATAAAAATTACGTTGTTGTTGTTGGTCTGCGATGAACTGCAGTTTAGTCCAACTAGAAAGATAGGCTAAATGTCCTGACTTGAAAAGGGCAGAAGATCATCTGCCTGGGCAGCTTGTGTGTAGCATATTTATATAATCTATTACTGTGTATGATGATGTAAAAACTTTATATAAAATTGCTACATGTTCCTGTGGCTCAGTTCCTCAAAAAGTATAAAAAAAAACATGGGAATATTTGAATGTAAACATTGTACCTAAATATCAAAGCAATCAGTGAAACACTTTTGGAGAGTTATGATTACAACTAAAAAAACATTTTTAACTGAAACAGAAACAGAATTTTTTTTCCAGTGTAGATTATAACAATACTTATTATAAATATAATATAATATACCGTGTATTGGTGGTGTAAGAATATCCACTACCCCAGATCAAACCCAGGCTTGTCGTAAGAAATGACGGAGAGAAACGGATCAGGAGATCAGACAACAGTGTTGTCTTAAAAACAATTTAAAATAAATAACTAGTCCAAAACCTGCTTGCCAAGTGTGGCGACTACGCCAAATATTTCTCTATGAGGCAATATATGGGGAGGCCTATGTTCAGCAGTGGACTTTAATACGCTGCAACGATAATGGTGTGGTAATTTACAGTTAGTAAATTCTCAATTGTCATTTAAGTATATAGATACTATTTTAATTTCATTAAACTACTGAATGCATATTTAGGTACGTGGTATGTTCCTTTCATTAAACAATTTATCTATAATTCTTTAATTTCTGTTTAGCATCCAATACTTCTTCATCTATATCTGTATAGCAAATGGTTTTATGATACTTATGCCCAAATTTTCAAATGTTGCTCAGATAGACTTGTGCTGTCACTGTCACTTTAAAGTCAAAGTCGGCAAGGCTATTTTTATAGAATAAAGTTGACAAACGAACACACAGTCCACCTGATGGTAAGTGGATGCTGTGGTCTGTGACCCATAGACATATACATTTAACCTTGATTAAGAATCGAAATGCAGATGCATTGTCACCCCTGAGGACTAAGATGGAAAACCTCGATTCTAGTAAAACGGGTCTCCTGTTCTCTTTGCCCACCTTACAAAACACAGCAGCATCAAGCTGCTTTATTCTTGTATTCTGTGAGAGTGTGCTCCTTCCCCGGTCGAGCCGACCCTTTCATGCTTCAATCATAATATAGCTGTAACGTGACTCTACCATGTTTGCCTTATTCACTAAAAAAATACTAAAAGTGTCAACTTATTTCCTTTGTAAATTTTTCGAGACCTAGGCACTCTTCTTATTTGTTTCACCATGCTACTAATCATTTTTTGCTTATTGTCACTTCGTTGAGCACATTGTACGTATACAGTTTAATATACGAAAAAGATATATCCTATATCCCATAATTTTTGTTATTACCTTGTGAAATAAAGGTAATCACGACAAAACTTTCTAAACTTACAGCTGTTAAGAAACACTGTAAAATCAGTCAAGTTGTGTAGGAGCTTTGGACCTCTCTTATAATTTTATTAAAAACACAAGTACCTTGAAAATACTGAAAATTTGTAATTTTCTTTATTTTTTTTTAATACTCATTCCTCATTAACAACCCCATTATTTAAAACAATATAATTATTTTTCTTTATGGATTATAAATAGATTATGTTGTGAGAAATTATTGTATAATATTTGAATGCAGTTTTTGTTTTCTTCAGAAAATATGATCAGAAGTATAAGCAAATTTCGAAAAACTAAACTCTTAGTTTACATTTTTGTTGTACTGCCTCAATATACTGATAAAAATTTAATAGGAGGACACAACAGTAGATAACATCATACCATCGACAAGAAGTCTGCACAGATATACTTATTCTTATGGTCGCCACACACGGTCAGTTCGAACTAGGAATGTTGATATTTTTTTAAATATCGGATTTTCGATATATGATGATTATAAATATATTAATATTGGAGTTTTATATATAAGTTTATTTGTGGATATAACTAAAATCCGATATGTTAAAAAATATCAACATTACTAGTTTTAACTGATCAGTCGGAATGATCAGTTTAACCGACGGTGTGTGTCGTCCATTAAGTTAATGGCAAATACAATTATTTAGATAATTTTGTGGTTAACCTCTCAACCCCCTAGCGGTCTCATGAGGTTGCACCCACCCACAGCACTTTAACCCATTAAAACTTATATACAAAGACTACTTTTCTATGAAGAAGTTTGGCATTATAATCAATATGAAATACTCTATCTTCTAGTGCAATAAAAAAACTGTTATTGTATGAATATTTATTTATAATCTTCATGTTTTATTATAAAATTGTAATGAAAATTTTTGTGTGAATATAACTTATCTTTTTACGTAAATAATTTCAAGTAATATATATTGAAATAATTGTGATTTTCACGTTACCGACATTCACTTGGTATGTTTTTTTTTTTAATATCAAAATACAATAAAATCTTTTTGTAATGAAGTAAAACCTGACTTTTGTTTAGACCACAAGATAGAGAATTTTGTATAGATTTTATAATGCTAAACTTCTTCATAGAAAAGTAGTCTCTAAATATAAGTTTTAAATGTTTTAAGTGATGTGAGTGGGAGCGATCGTATGCGAGCGCTCGGGATTTTCCGGGCGCATGCGACTGCATGGGATTTTTATGGCGCTTGAAGGGTTAAAAGATGAATAAATATCCAACAAAGGAATTTGTAGTGTCCATAGTAAATAAGATAAGCAAGTTCAAGTCACATGTAGCAGCATAAATATTACCGATGTAGATTCACCATAAAGCTAAGCAATACCTTCAACCCATCACCCCATTTCGTTCCATCACGGGTGTCATAAAAGGGGATTGTATCGGATATACCAGAACAACCTTAAGGCTTTTGTTGGATGACAGTATAAAATTATCTTCTCATCTTTGCTTCTTCTTCAGACAAAAATACAGTGGGAGAAACTCATGTCCAGGTGTGGAATATTGCAGACTCATGATGACGATTATCCTTAGTCCAACTTAAAAAAATATAAATTGATGGCTTACGGTGCAGTGGCTTAGCATTGAGTTGTGGGCGTTGAAGGCCACAAGTTCGAATCTTGAACGAAACAAGTATTTGTATGGCCTGAATGTTTGTCCTTGTGCAACTGGTGTTTGTAAACTGCCTTCACAATACAGGACATTTACTAATAAGGTTTTTTTTAAAGAAGTAGAAAAAATACAAACCAACTTCAGAAACCTTATAATAATAATAATTTATTTGAAAAACGCAACACTGATCCATTACAAAATTAAATTTAAAGATTACACCTTAAATAATAATTTTTATTTTATTATCTTAATATATTATATAAATTGTGTGTCACATTGTTTGTCTGCGATGGACTCCTAAACTACTCAACCAATTTAAACTAAATTTGCAGTTGCAGTTTGGTCCAACTTGGGAGATAGGATAGTTTTTTTGCCCATGAGTGACCCACAATTTTTCTTTTTTGCGAATTTAAGGATTTTTAATAGAACATGGCAAAGGGTCGTTGAAAAGGGCAGAACAACATCTGCCTGGCAAGCTGGTATATTTATGTATATTATAAGGATAAAATAATTTCCATATAAGAACTTCTGAACTGGGGGTGTTAATTATTCTATACACTATCCTGTCTTAGAACTTATTAAGCGGTAATTATTATATTTTAGTTCTTTGAAGTATACTTAAACTTTTTATTAAAAGGTATTTTTTAAGGCATAGGCTATAGGAATAATGCTGAATTGCTCTATAGTTATCTCTATGCTATCACCACATTTCGAGTCGTATAGACAAGTTATTGAATGGTATTTGTAAGCTCTTGATCTTTTTAAACAGACAGAAGCTATTGAATGTTCTATAATAAAAACTATGCCAGTATAATCTAATCTAATCTCATGAAATATTTTAATTTCATTATTTAATTAAAATAGAGCATGTAGCTACATTCTGCAATTTGTCCGCGGTTGCACAATGCTGATAGATTAAAATAGACATTAGATTTAGTATAAATTGATAGCATTGAGGTATTGGCCATACTGCAGAAAAGAAGACCAACATAGAGAACATGATACGACCCAACATTAGAGCTCTTTAATTTTTAAAACAGTTGATAAAAATTTCTTTACAAATCTAGCTTAGATGGCTCACTGCTTGACACATGTCCTTTATTTTTAAGATGTAACGCATTTATGATGATATCCTATTTTCATTTATAAAGATTATCACATTTCAGTCTACCGTAAATAATCACAGCGAAGCTCCTTATGGCCTATAAGCATTTTTATGCATCGGGTGTTATAGAGACACGCGTTATTAACCTATTTTTGAGGATTTATATCGTTCTGTTGAAAAACGTTACCTAATTTTCGTAACGGCGTGCGCGCTCGCAATAGGGGATCACCAGCGATGCAATGTTTATGGTACAAACTATTTCGGAGCTTCCTATTCCTTGTTTAGTGTTGAAATAATAAACGACGTGATTAATAAACGTGGCTAAATGCAATTGACTAATTTTTATTTATGAAACTAAGTGTTTTTTGTTGTTGTAAAACGGTGTTAAGTAAATGCTTATGAAACTTCTGGGTCACTTTAATAATAGTGTTGCGAAAATAGTTATTTTTAGCCGTCTTCCCCAGAATGAGGGTAGTGTTTTTCGAGATTATGTATAATATGTATGTCTATTTCTTTGGCTTTTTTTTAATGGATTTAACATATGAGATGTCGCTAAATTCATCTTAATTTTTCTCTTTTTAGTAACTTTTTTTACGCTGTCGGGTGTTTATAATGCTATGTTATTGTTTTTACTTTTTAAAAGTTCTTTTTTTTAGTAGCATGTATGTGTGTTGTAGAAAAGAGCATGTAGGTAATGTATTTGAGTAATACAAGCATGATTTTTTTATATTATTAAACATAACTACAAGTACATCGTTGACTTGATGGTAAGTAGATGCTGTGTTCCATAGACACATATATCTATGCCCCATTATAAATCAAAATGTTTTTTTAGTTTTCGTTGTTTGTTAGTAACTGCCTAGACGCGTTGTCATACATACTCTGAAAACTAAGATACTTCGTTGTCAGTAAAAAGTTACACGTTTCACGTTACTCTGATCTGAAACACAAATAGCATTATGCTGCTAATTTAAGCGACTAGCTTAACGGCAGGGTGCGGAACGCGAACTCAAAAGGTCGTGGGTTCGAATCCGCCATTCGAATACCGACGTGAACCACTCCTAACACAAGCAATTTAAGCTTCCCAGAAGTGGTTAAAGGGAATGTTTGTAATGTTAATAGCATTGCATGTATTTCAATATGAAATAAAAAATACATTGGTATTCTGTGTTAGCGTGCTCCTTTACCGGAAGAGTATATTTTTAGAATAAGCTTGACAAACGACCTCACAGTCTGTCTGATGGTAAGTAAATGCTGTGACCTATAGACATACTATATTTATACTCGGTTATCTCAATGCAGATGCGTTGTCACCCTTGAGTACTAAGATTGAATGCCTCATTTCCAGTAAAAAGGTTATCTGGTTCTCTACACTCTCCATAAGAAACAGCAGTATTAAGCTGCTATTTTACGATGGTATTCTGTAAGAGCATGGTTTTGCCCCGGTCTAGCCGACCAACTCGTGCTACAACCATAATACAGTTGCGGGGTAACTTGGTATTGTACCTGACAATAATTCTCAAATCTTACCCTAGACAGATGTCATTAGTAACCGCTTAAATATGCTTATTCTTATTGTTGTGTAATGGCGATTTAAGAGAATCGACTACCTCATATCATCCAGTGGGTGTCGTAAGAGTCGCCCCGCTACAGTGGCAAATGTAGCAGGAGATGGGTGGCAGTTTCCTGATAACAATAATGTTAAAAAAAATGCATTTGTCGACCTAAGCGTGACAACCATGGTAAATATCGCCCCTATCCATCCTCCCTTCACAGCCAACCCCCCTATTGCTTCAAAGGGGGGATTTTGCCATAGTTGCCACGCTTTGCTGCCGGGTTGGCAACCGCAGTATTTTATAAGTTTGAATTGTTATCAGGAAGTCGCTGCTGCCCATATCCTGGTTTGTTTCCGTATGCCGCTTGTTACGACACCCACAAGACTATGGGGTAGTGGATATCCTTACTCCGCCACTACACGATCAACGACGAGAAGTCCTACGTTCAGCGGTGAACTTTTATAATGAATTAATGATTCCCAAGGCAGACGTAGTACCGCATTGTCTATACGCTGAAGAGCGACGGGAACCGTTTTCGATGATGGTCGTGATCGTAAAAACCGGCTCACAAAATTTAAAGTTTAAAATAAAATAAAAATACAAAATTGACCCAAAGAACACTGACTGTCCTTAATAAAAACGTGGGTCCGAGGCTTTCACATAGTAAAGTGATAACAAGAAGTATTAAACTTGTAGCATAGTAATAATATTAATAACTGCATTTCTGGGGCCATGACACATTTAGCCCCAAGCTCTTCCGGTACACGAAGTACGACAGCAACCCAGGTGCATTCCACGCCAGCGCCAATGAAATTTTTAGTTGTAATTTTGAATGTTAATTTACTATGTGTTCTGCGGCGAAGGAAATGATCGTAAGAAAACCTGCAAATCTGACGAGTAAAATATTTTGCAGTATATCAGTGTAAAATAGTAGCTTAACGCTTCTGTGTTTCGTATGGTGAGTGTAAAGAACTGGAGATCCTTTTTACTGGAAACGAGGCATTCCATATTAGTGCGCTGGATAAATGTAGATGTCTATGGGCCACAGCATCCACTTCCTGTAGGTCGACTGTGTGCTCATTTGTCATCTTTATAAAATGCAAAGACATGTGAAGTCCGTCAACACGCACTATCGCTCCCACAGAAATCTAAATAATAGTGTCTTATTATTTAGATTTCTGTGATCGCTCGCCACCCCAATAATTGCTCCATAATCCTCAACTCACATTGTCTTTGTATTGTTAAGTTTCGTATTCCCTTTTTACTTATAATCGAGACATTTAATCGTAACCCTCAGGGGTGACAACGTATATATGCGTTTTGTTTGCTTGTTTGTTATTCTATCATAAAAATGTTATTTTTACATCTACATCCTATAAACATAAATAACTAAACGTATAAATAAAATTGAAGTATCAGTCTGTTATGTTGAAGTAACTGCCTTTTATTAAGCTGAGGAGGTTGCATGCCATTAAGACATAAAACGTTTGTAAAATTTTTGTTTGTCTGGGGTAATCTGCGGAACGGTTAAACCGATTGTGATGAAATTTCGCGAGCAGACAGAGAGCAGGACCCGAAGTCATTTACGATTACGAGCCGTGGTAGCTCAGATGGTTAACGCTTGCTGTAAATATAACGGAACGCGAGTAACCCGGGTTCAATTCCCGCCGGCACCAAAGAAATTGTTAATTGCAATTTTAAGTGATGTTTTACCACGTGCTCGGCGGTGAAGGAAAACATCGTGAGGAAACCTGCATGTCTGAGGAACAAGAAAAAAGATATTTTCGAAGACATGTGAAGTTCGCCAACACGCATTGGGGCAGCGCGGCGGACACTTCCTCGTCCTAAAACTCTCTCAGAAATGAGAGGGGGCCTGTGCCTACCTGTGGGATGTATATAGGCTGTAACTTTACTTTACTTTTATTCGAAAAACTTGTCTCAATTTGATTGAAAACGATGAATATTTAAAAAATCCTAAATGACATGATTCACCCAGGCGAAGACTAGGCTTGCCTCATAAATGAATTCATATTCACCCGCGATGATGTATCTGAATATCTTTCAGTTACACTGCGAATAAGAATTTTTACTTGTGTCATTGTTTCCCAACGATTCCACTCATCCCGCGGATGTCAGCAGATTCTTAAAGACAATACGTTTGATGGAAACTGTCTGGAACAATCAATGCAACAATCTACGCGGTTTTGTTTGAGTGGTACTCGAGATTACGAAAAAATGAGGTCGTTACCGGCGCGAACACTTCACCGCTCTCGTGCCGCGATAAGACCGCCTTGAGAGTCTTTTGTTCGGAAAAAATGTATAAAAATGTAATCGAAAATGTCCGTGTCTAAAGGAAATAGGTAAAAACCTGGGGACTTCGACCTCTTATTCAATAGGCTCATTTTTGTGTATATGGGGCGCCCTTTAATTTTATGATATTGCCGCATTTTATCGAATATTATTTATTTAAATTTCACCCACGCATGGATGTTTAGAAATTTGAAATTTTGCAGAAGTATTAAGAACCCATGACAACACAATCATTTTAGCATTATAGCCTAGTATAGTAATGTCCTCCAGACCCGAATATCAGTCACAGCGGCTAGCCTCAACGGAAACTAGCCAGCCATCGGCGCAGAACAGAATTACAGTGCCCAGTGTATACGCAAATACAGGTGCAGTCTCCTCTATTCCCTCACTTTCATAGTCTGATGAGTGAGATCAGGCGCAGGACCAACGGCTTTGCGTGCTTTCCAAGGTCTAGAATAGTATTCTCACTACAACTATAAGATTGTTGTTTATGAGACGATGATTCATAGCTGTGCTAAGATCCGATAGAGGTCGCTGTGCAGTGCAGGTCGCAGTGCAGTTAGTTTACAAATTCTATATTAATGGACCGAAATTACTTATTATTTATAATATAATATATTGGCTTAGTGCCAAATATCTCCAGTTACTAAAAAATATATGTTTACAATGTAAAAAAATACGAAGTTAACGTATTATTACCAGGTCTTCAAAGAACGCTTGTGACTTACAGACAGTCACATTGATAAACAACGTGATGATCTCGAATTTGGAATGATATATTAATAATTTTGTTATAGCGAAGTCCACGCGAGCTAAACCGCGGGAAAAGCAAGTATCCATAGGTCAATGTTAAAATCGATCTTCTACCAGCTCTTACCGTTACCGTTACTGCTTGTCAAAAGTCCACTGTTGAACATAGGCGTCCCCTGTTAATTGCGTCATAGGGATCCCTCCTATGCGGCAATCAATTTTCAATAGTTGCCACGCTGTGCAGGCGAACTGGCAACTGAAGTTCTTATTTTTTATTAGGAAAACTCTGCTGCCAATATCCTTGTTTGTTTTCTTCAGTCACTTCTGACATCCACGGACGATATGGGGTAGTGGATATTCATACACGGCCACTATTATATAATATGTCACAATTATATAATACTCGTAGTTAGTACAGTCCGTTTCACGAAAGAAGTCCCGCAGGAAATGTGCGAACTAAAATTTAATGTATGGAATAATTTGACACCGGATGTCAAACTTTGCAAAGACTGGTGCGGCTAGGGGACTTCTTTCGTGAAACGGACTGTAGTTTTCTTGTTAGATATTGCTTGATGATTACATTTCCTTACTAATTCCGTTGTGTTTGCGTTCCAGGGCTCGCCCCACGGGTCGGTGATGTCTTGCCAGTCGCTGGCGGCGCGCGCCTTCGCCGAACCGGACAAGGACCCGTCGCAATGCGTCGCCTTCCATAGGTGAGCGACCCATCACATTCATATTACCCATCAAAAGCCATAGCTAATTATTATAGACTTTTACTATTTATGCCTTGTCCTTATAAGGATATTTGCTATTGCAGCCGCATTTAGCAGACAGGCTGAGATAAAAGTATCGATATCCTATTCTACAATAGTATGCCGTGAACTACAATAGGATTTTTCATCGCTAGTAAGTAGATCCGTGACTGCAATACTCAATATGACGGTTCCGTGGCGCAGTGGTTTAACCATGAGTTCCCGAATCCCGCCTGGAACAAGGATTTGTGTGGTTATGTAACTGTTCTGGGTAGGATGTTTGTTCTTGTGCAAATTATGTTTGTAAACTGCCTCCACGTTACAGGAAAATCGTATGTAACGTTATTAAAAAAGAAGTTTTAAATATAGCCCATTGTAACATTAATGTGTGCCAGTCTTATTTTATACATAAAAAAGATACAATAACATGTTTTCTACATGTTTTCCAGGACGGTTCGGTTCAGCTCGGAGTCGCGTAGCTCAACCAGAGTTACTAATGATTCGGACTGCAAGCGGGAAACTTCTGGTTAGTACACTAACTTATTTTTAGCCGACCTCAAAAAGGGGGTCCTCATTTCGACTGTGATCTTTTCTTATTTTTTGTACGTAAGTTACGAAGTATCTTTGTTTACTCCTCTTTTTTATTTGATTTCATTACGACTATCACCTGATTTAAATGATTCTTCTTTTATTAAATATGTGTAATTTTGGAAGCATAATTCTACCCCTAAGGGAAATAGGGAAGGAAGTTTATAATGTTACTATTAAGATGACAGTCAAATCGACCTTGAGCTTGTGATATTCGTAAGTCTAATCTGAGGGGTTGTTCTCTCAGAAAGTCCACGCAAAAAGTTCTAAAAATTTTACTTATAATAAAAAATAAAAGCCGATTTCAAAGACCTAAAAAAATAAAATCATTTCAGCTTTCACTTTAATTAAAGTTTAAATATAATTCCCGTCTTTAATAACGTTTTCTGATATTTTAGTTTCGAGATGGATATTTCAAGGATTTCTTTCTATGGTGTTATTGCACTTACTAGTACCAACTACTGGGTATTTAACGTAAAATAATTTATTTATTATCGATTATATACTCCTAAAGAGATTTATCACTGGTAACTTTAGAGTAGCAACAGTCACGTCATCACACTGCTCGATATGAAAGTTGATGGATATAAGAGTAGAAAGAGGCTTCAGTGAAGTTGAATGGACTGTGTGGGATGATATGCGTAGGAAAGGAGTGAATAAGATGACGGCTGATGAAGGATGGAAGGGAGACATACTATGCCGACCCTAAAACGGCTAAAGGGTAGGAGGAAGGAAAAGTATGGCCAGAGAGCATGTGATATTACTTTTTACTATGGTTATCTCTCACGATATCCGCGGCTTGTAATGGAGCGTGATGAATTTCGTACTCCGCCACCATAGAGTCCTAGTGTGAGGAGGAATAATAATAAAATAGTATTTTATTAAGATCAAACTAGTATTCTATTACATAAAAAAACTTAGTCTAGTCTAGTATTTGCTACTTCCTTATGGCTTGCAGATCTGTTTGCCAATCGACAAAGGCCTCCCCCAACAGTGTGAAGAGTAGTTTGTATGTTTACAGGTGGTATGTCGCTGTCGACGCTGGCGGTGACCCCGTTGCCGCCGGCAACCGCTATGAGCCAGTCCGCACCGCCCGCTTCCATCTCATTCGACCTCAACGATGAGGTAACATTCTTAACGTTATTTCTGTATTGTGTTTACTGACTGTCACAAACGACTACGTTTTTTTAAAATTCTAATAGTATAATTTTTTATTCGATTTTAATTATTTACCACTGGTTTGAAAATTCCTCTGCCCTGGGAAGAACCGGAAAGAAACCCAGATGGATTATTTTTTTAGGTATGAATTCTACAAAAATTTTGTACTAAGCTAAATTAAAATGCACCCAGCAAATTTTTTTAATTTATCGTTGGTAACGATCACCAGAGGTTGTTTTCATTAATGCATTCCTTGATTTAATAACAATAACGATTTAAATACAGTTTTTGGTTTAATAACATTTTTAAACTTGTTGATTGACAAACTTTGAACATTTTCTGAAATTTTATTGTAAAAGCGTATTAAATTGCCTAATAGATAAATTACTAATCTGGAGTCTACTATTTGCATTTAAAAGCTTTGTGTTTGTCTTTACTGTTTAAAGTATGAATAACTTTCTTTTTGTCAAACTAACCTTAAGAGTAGAAAAATAGTTAACCGTTCTTTGTCCCTCAAGAGGAATAGTCGTAACATGGCCGGTTTTGGAGACAAACGTGGCCACCATTTTTTTTTTGCAATACTCCGTGAACGAACAATTTTTGTTGGCTTTAACTCATTTTCGAACACCCAAACTCGTGACTGGTTTTTTGTTTTGGGTTCGTACGCGTATATCCAGGATTCGTCACTTGATACGCTGTTGAATACAGGAATCTTTCGAGAGTTCTGACGCACCAAGTAACGCGAGCCGCTTTTTGCTCTTCACAGAGCGAATGCGGTATCCATCGGGAAAACAACTTTTTTACACCTAATTGTTCATGCAAAATTATTTGTATTTGACTCATGCTAATGTCTAAAGTTGCCTGAATTTCGCGGTATGTCACATGTCGATCTTCCTCAATCAGCTTACGCACAGCATCAACGTTTTCTTGGGTGACTGCAGTTTTTGGACGACCTTGACGGGGATCATCACTGAGCTTGACACGTTCACGTTGAAATTCAGCAAACCCGCGATAAATTGTGGTTTTGGATGGGGCTTCATCACCAAATGCAGAAATCACCCGGTCAACACACTGTTTTTGTGTTAAACCACTTCGAAAGTCATAATAAATCATCACTCTTGAATTTTCTCGAGTCATTTCCATTTTCTCAACGACTAAACAAGTTTGACAAAACCTTGTGACAAGACCGAGAATATTTTTTTTAAATAAAATTCGATTTTTAAAACCAAGGAGTTTTCAATTAAAATATTTTAATATGACAGGAACAGTGGAAATATTCCATTCCCCGATACTTTTAGTGCAGCCTAGGTAGTGCAGCCCTCGTATTGTTAATATTTAGATGAGATTCCAGTTGTCATCTTGATCTTAGTTTACTCATAAGGGTAAAAAAGAACTTTTACTTAAAAGTTAAAAGAGTCCTCAAAAACTAAAAAGAATAATATAATTTCTACAGCTTTTGAAGTCGGTGCTTTATATTAAAAGTTTAAAAAAAATAGGGTTATCACTAAAAATGTGCTTAATGAGGCATTAATAAAAATAAATATAATTAATATTATGTATTTCTGTAGAGGCCGCCGCCGCCGTCGTGTAGGTTTCCGAAGCTGGAGGAGTGCGCGCACTTCCACTACGAGCGGGTGTCGCTGGGCGGGCTCAGCGTCGAGACCGTGCCCTGCGAGGACCAGTGCGAGGAGAACGACCCTAGTGAGGGTGAGTGCTGCAATTGTTTGCTAGCTTGCCACATTACAGCTGTATCACTAAATATGGGGAAGCCGCTGTAGCCTAGAATACAGTTTTCATCTATCGCTGGCTACAGAGTTTCAATATGACTTGTGTTTGTATTACTTATGTATTACATATGCCTATCAAATGTTTCTCTGGCCAGACGAGAAACTGCGAAAATATTTTTTTTTTCTTTTTAACAATTATTCGTGTAATATAATATAAAATACTAAAATAAATGACTATTGGACAAATGAAGTTTTTCATACACCTAAAAAATTTTTCAATGAAGAATTCCCGACGTTGTACATTTAAAAAAATTTTTTTTCGTTACCATGACGATGTTTATAACATGAAAATGATAAAATAAAAAATACCTGAATGTTTTAAGCAGTTAAGAGCAAATCTTGCTCTTTTCATTTTTCTCGAAACTGAACAATCGGTTCGCAAAAACCACTCAATGGATCGATCAGCAAATTTATACATTGAGGTGAAAAAATCCTGAAAACCTTAACTTTCCTATCAGTTTTTGCTAAGATGCAGTGGTTTTTTTACTTTTTTTCAAAATTAAATTGCGAATGAAATAAAAATTTTTTCTTCAAATGTCAGAATTAATAGGAAGTTTATGCCAGTTTTCGAAACTGCTCTTCAATTTTCTACACTTCGCCTGCCGGTGCAAGGCTTCCACTCGAAAACCTTTTCTTCTCCATCAGTTGTCGATTCAGCTATATGGCCAGCCCATTGTCATTTCAGTTTATTAATCCGTTGGTAAATATTTATTATACAGGGTGGATTTGTCTGCGTGTCCGTTCGCACGTGAGCGGCGGCTGCGATGAGTCGGCGGAGGCGCGCACACTGGCCGGCAGCTGGAGCGAGCCCAGCCACGTGCGCGAGTGGACGCTCTCGCGCAGCCGAGACCACTTCCTGCAGCTGGACGACATGCTGCACAGGTGCACACGCACACATACACCCATACACAGACAGATACACGTACACACTTAGAACCCAGCCATGTGCGCGAGTGGACGCTCTCACACAGCCGAAACCACTTCCTGCAGCTGGACGACATGCTGCACAGGTGCACACGCACACATACACCCATACACAGACAGATCCACGTACACACGTAGAACCCAGCCATGTGCGCGAGTGGACGCTCTCACACAGCCGAAACCACTTCCTGCAGCTGGACGACATGCTGCACAGGTGCACACGCACACATACACCCATACACAGACAGATCCACGTACACACGTGGAACCCAGCCATGTGCGCGAGTGGACGCTCTCACACAGCCGAAACCACTTCCTGCAGCTGGACGACATGCTGCACAGGTGCACACGCACACATACACCCATACACAGACAGATCCACGTACACACGTAGAACCCAGCCATGTGCGCGAGTGGACGCTCTCACACAGCCGAAACCACTTCCTGCAGCTGGACGACATGCTGCACAGGTGCACACGCACACATACACACATACACAGACAGAACCACGCACACACGTAGAACCAAGCCATCGGCGCGAGTGGACGCTCTCACACAGCCGAAACCACTTCCTGCAGCTGGACGACATGCTGCACAGGTGCACACGCACACATACACCCATACACAGACAGATCCACGCACACACGTAGAACCCAGCCATGTGCGCGAGTGGACGCTCTCACACAGCCGAAACCACTTATTGCAGCTGGACGACATGCTGCACAGGTGCACACGCACACATACACCCATACACAGACATATCACGTACACACTTAGAAACCAGCGATGTGCGCGAGTGGACGCTCTCACACAGCCGAAACCACTTCCTGCAGCTGGACGACATGCTGCACAGGTTCACACTCACACATACACATATACACTGACAAACACACGTACACAATAATATATAATAGAGCCCAGCTATGTCAGTTATTCTTAATGATTTTAATGTTGCCTTACTTACAGATGCATCTACGACCGCAAAGTGTCAGGGCTGCCAAACTTGTCAGAAGAGTTACGGTCGCCGTGTGATGACTCGCGCTACCAGCAGCTGATCGGGGACTATGTACACCATCTCTCTATCATCGCAGACGACTCCATAAACTGTGGACCTGTGCTTAACTGGTTGCAAATGGACAACAAGGGTAAATAAGATCTGGCCTAATTGTAACTAGCTCTTATCTCGAGATTTTGTAGGAAAAATCATCTGTCCGTGTTACTTTATTTCACCCGCCTTGATGGTATAAATGTGTTGTTTCTTATCTAAAGTAGCTTTTAAAAGATATGAGTTTCATTCATCTCCTTTGTCACCATATTTTTTATGTTTATGTAATATAACAATTATATTTAAGAAAAATGAGTACACAATACAGGTTTTCTGTTTTGTTTGTCAGATAGCCACATTTAATAATGTATTTATGTGTTAGTGCCATTCTGCAGCTATATTATGTTGTAGTACGAGTGGGTCGGCTTAACTGGGCAAGGACCATGCTCTTAGAGAATAAAAGTGTAAAAGGCAGCTTAACGTTGTTATTTTTCGTATGGGTGAGTGTAGAGAACCGGAGATTCCTTCAATGGAATGTTAGTCCTTAGGGGTGACAATGCATTTATATTGAATAAAACTCTATTTACGGATTTTATCGCGTTTAATTAACTATTTAACTAATTTTTAATTTGGGACGTTTCGGGTGCTTTACAGCACCTATGGTCGGAGGGTGGGGGGTACTGAGATGTTTGACGTCCCAATGTTATATTTAGTATTTAGCCTTTAGTTTTTGAATATTTTTGGTCCGATCTACGTAGAACGAGCTTACAGTATTGAAGTCTTGCAGTGTTATGCTTAGGTTTGGGTTTAATTTTGTTAATTATAGGATCCCAAGCAGGTGGCAGCACCCATCCATCTTCTCTATTGAAATTAGGATGTTTTTTTATTTTCAATAGCCTCGCGTATCATCCTTGGTAGGAATCGGTGTTCTTTTGCAAGGATTTGTGGTTTATCAAATCTGATGTAATGGTCCGTAATTAGAGTTTTATTCAATGTGCAGTGTTCGTGTAAACTTAAGAAATCATAATGCATTTATATTTCGATTTTAGTACAGGATAGGTGTAGAATGTCAATGGGCCACAGTATTTACTTAGCATTAGGGTGAAATATATAAAACAAGAATTCTAAAAATGTATTTTGTACGATGTGAATATTTTTTGAAGCAAACGTTTTGTTATCAGGGCACAAGTTACTAGTGGCTAATGAAGACTCAAGCTCGATCAACACGCCGGCCGTGGCCGCTGGTTACTCTGTTCGAAAATATGTTTCACAGGCAAGTAGAACTGATGGAAAAATCTTGTTTATTAAATATAAATAATTCGGCTCGAAAGACCAAACGAAATTTTCTATAGACTATTTGATAAATTTTTGTATAGACTTGATTGTATAGATATTTCGATTAAAACCGTCATCCCGCATTACTGCAGCATGGCAGTTTTATTAACTTTGCTACCGCGCTTTTAAATGCAAATATAACGTCATTTATATTACTATTACTTAAAACTAGCACTACTTGGAAGTAATATATATATTAAATTACATTTTCGTATTCTTTTCATTTCTATACTTTGACTGATAAGATTTATGTTTATCTCTTTATATATATATATATATATGTTAAATATTTATATTTATCTTTGTTTTTTTTCTTATTTTAATTATGGTTTACATTATTCCTCTACGTAAAGGTTGTCTGGAAGAGATCACTTTCAGAGTGATAAGACCGCTTTTTGTATATATAGTATGTACTTGAAGTTGTACTATATTTGTTTTCTGTATTTCAGTGTTCATTTAAGAATAAATAAATATTTGTCGGTAATAAGTTGTGTCTTTTAACAGGCTCGTGATGAAATAAGCTTCGACGTGGGTGACATGATATCCATCATCGATATGCCGGGTAAGTTTACTCCGAGGTGTGTAGAGAGCGCAGTATACACATGTACGGTGGCAATGTTAAGGCAGTGTGTGTGGTGGCAGGGCCGCAGGAGTCGGAGTGGTGGCGCGGCAAGCGCGGGTTCCGCGTGGGCTTCTTCCCGCGCCACTGCGTCGCCGTCATCGGCGACAAGGTGCCGCGACACATGACGCAGCCGCCGCCCATCGTCGGGTCAGTGCACACCCCACCCCACTACCACACTATTGATCAATCAATCAATATCTCATTCATAAATTTTAATCAATCAGTATTTCATATTAATAAATGAAAGAATATTTCGTTCATCAATAAATTATTCAATCATAAATGAATGAATGCATGAATGTTAATTTTACTGTGTAATAGCGGTGTAAGTATATCCACTAACCCATATCATCTTGTGGGTGTCAGAAGAGGCGGCAAATCAGGAAATGAATAGCAGCGTCTTCCTTATTACGACTAAAAATTATATTTGTGCCATCCCCTGCCAAGCGTGAAACTATGGCATATATACCCCCTATGAGGCAATATATAAGAGAGACCTACGTTCCTTTCCTATGTATGTACAATCTTTACGTCCCTAAAAGGATCACCAGATGTTACACACTACATGTACAGATTTATTCAGAAATTGATATCGTGATTTAGACTTTGATTTATTTTACGCCTGTAGACGACGATGATGCGATGCCAGAGTTGCCATATAATAATATCTTTGATCGTTATGTTTTTTTTTTTTAATTTTTTTTAGGTCAGTGGCAGTAGCCCCTATAAAACCAGTGCTTCGGAAGCACGGCAAGCTGATCTCCCTTTTTCGAAGCTTCATCCTGTCCCGGCCATCGAGGAGGAGTCTCAAACAGCAGGGCATTTTAAAAGAACGAGTCTTTGGTTGTGATCTAGGGGAACATTTGCTGAATTGCGGTCATGATGGTAAGTAGTAGGTGGTAATGATATCATATTTAACAGGATATCCGTGCGGCGTTTAGTCCATACATACGTATACCTCTATTTTCTCCCTGGATAATGTCACCAAAGCAAATTTTACGTGCGTGCCTTATCTACCGCTATTATATATTTTGTTTTCGCCACCTATATTAATTACTTAAAAAAGTATAAAAATTCAAAAATTATCAAAACTGTCCAATTACATCGCCCTTATTAGACATCCAGCAAAAAAATTTTACGAACTTACAAAAATAAAAGAAAATTATGTAGACAGAGGTAATTCTTTTTTTTTTAATAATTTGAGTTTCAACGGATTTTATCGCGTATATTACCCGACGTTTCGAGCACTTTACAGCACCCATGGTCACGGGGGGGACTGAGATGTTAAACGTCCAGATGTCATAGTTAACCGCGGTTGCCATAGATTAAAATTATTAATTTTTACGCAGTATGAACTAATAGTATCCTGTAGTCTTGTAGTTGTATGCTTGGGTTGGGATTTAATTTTATTAATTATAGGATCCCAAGCAGATGGCAGCACCCATCCATCTTCTCTATTGAAATTAGGATGTTTTTTGATTTCAATAGCCTCGCGAATCATCCTTAGGAGGAATCAGTGTTCTTTAGCAAGCATTTGTGGAAATTCTTCCTTTTCTATGTTTTGTTCTTCAAAACTATAACTTTTATAATTATTTTGAAGAGCAATATACGAAGAATATTAATATAATTATGGCTGAGAAATGTCTATGTAGCTTTAAGATTTTTTAAACACCAGCAGTGACTGTTTCTAAGTGTTAGCAAATCGCAACTCTGTAAAGATTATTAGGTTTACGTTTTTTATTTTACCTCGTTGGCCTTACTATATGTTATTATTTGGTATAGTATCTTCTTGTTTTTCTTCAGCTTTTGAAAATCTACCAGACCTCATGGTTTCTGATACAAGGCAGTGTAACCATTTCGTTTGTACAAGACACTAAATATTCAGACCGGTAATGGGCTGCATGAGAGATACGGACGTTTAGTATTTATTCGGCTGCAAAGCTTAACGGTTAATGCAAATTTTTAAAACGGGGAGTACCATACATAAAAAGACGTGCGTATATGTATTCGCGTGACCGTGTACGTGCATGATAAATCCTTTTTAAATGGGAGTCCCATGTCGAGCACATGTAGAAGTGTACGTGTGCAAGTACTCGTGTATGTCGTGCACGAGTTCTTGCACGACATACACGTACAGTGTAGTGTGCGATTAAGACAAACCTCTATTAAATTGGGCGAGTCCTATGTCGGGTACATGTAGACGTTTACGCGTAAGTATGTATGCAACGTGTGAGTCCGGGTGTACGTTTGTACGTAAACGTAAACGAGTACACGTGTACTTGTTTGCGGGTACGTGTACATATACGTGTGCATGTGTACGTGCACGTATACGAGATTATCCGTGTGTGTCCGTATATTTGCGAGCGTGTCCGTATACGTGTATGCGTGTGCATATGTATGGGTGCGTGTGTACGAGTACATGATCGTCCGTGTGCGTGTTCCCAGTGCCGCTGGTGCTGACGGAGTGCGCGGCGGCGATCGAGCGGCGCGGCGCGGTGGACGGCGTTTACCGGCTGTCGGGCGGCGCTGCGCTCACGCAGCGCCTGCGCGCCGCCTTCGACGCGCACCAGCGCCCCGACCTGCGCCCGCCGCTGCAGCGCGACCCGCACGCGCTCGCCAGCCTGCTCAAGATGTACTTCCGGTGGGTGCACCGCACGTACACACCCACACCCACACATATAGTATATACATTACCTTCGACGCGCACCAGCGCCCTTACCTGCACCTTTATTGGATTTTCAAATTAATTGATATATTAAATATTATGAAATTAGTTTGGTTTTATTCATCTATCGGCGCTCCCAACAACAATTATGTATGTATTTTAATGTTTATTTATATAGGATTATTAATAAATCAAAGCTATACATACCTTCATTGCTGTTCAAGTGCAACACATTATACTTACAATTTAAAATGCAGAGAACTAATAAGATTTTACCCAGTCACAAAGCGTCCAATGGGCATATCATACATGCGACACGTCATGGTTATATAGTAATATTATTATATAAAATTATAATATTAACATTAGCATGTCCGTGACGCGAATTTATAAGATTTTACCTCAGATATAAGTGTCTTTAATCCACAGCATCCACTCACCATTAGGTGGACCGTGAGCGTGCCTGTTACCCTTCTTCCATAAAAAAACCTATTCTTATATAAACTTAGCTCTACGGCTACCTCTACTCACCTCAGCCCCAGTTCATTTCCACTGTGTCCGCAGCTTTCCAAGGCATCCTTTTCGCAATTCTTTATTTAATATGGGCAGACTGTTGCAGAAAAGGACCACCACTATGGAACTAGTCAATGCTCCATCATTTACATACTCGAACATATTGCTTTATCCCACCCTTGGTGCCTTTGTCTTTTGCATCATTCCATTTCATTACTAAACAATACAAATCAATTGTTTTTTTTTAAATTAAATTTAAATATTTTTTGTCTCCTTTTTAATTTAATGTTATTTTTATCCGCAGCGAGCTTCCAAATCCGCTGTGCACGTACCAACTATACGATAGCTTTGTCAGCGCGGTGCAAATCCCTGACGAAGCAGCGAGGCTAAAAGCGATGAAGGAGACAGTCGTGAAATTGCCACCGCCACACTACAGGTTATGGTCCTTCGAGCCTGATTTATCTATTACATCAAATTTTTTTTTATAAGTTGCTACAAACAATTATGAATAATAAAGTTAAGCAGTCAATTAAGTAAACAAATTTTGTTTGTTGACTATGTAAAATTCATTTTAAAGGTCGACACAAATTAATTTTATCTATTCTGCTATCTCGTACGAATTACCGATGAAACACGTATTTGATAATAGATAGTATCTTACTTAATAGTAATTGTGGGGATAATAACTAACATTTGTTTTGCAGCAGCCCTATACTCCACCAAATCATATCACATTTATTGAACTCGGTATTCCATACTGAAAATTCAGTACCTACAATATTCGATTCTAAAGAGATATCGATATCGATTCTTTATAATTGGTAATAATTTACAGTTTTATTTATATTAATACCAGAATAAATTAGAAACAAATTACTCAAAACACAAAATTAATCTGTTTTAAGCCATTGCATAGCTTTTATCGCGGGCTTTGAGCGCGGCGACCGAATCAAGAAATTCCGTAACGAAAAAAACCTAAGACCCGAAAACCTAACATCGTCTAATGTCGTTTAAGTTCGGCAGACTTCGGCACGGTGTGTGCGTGCGAGTAGACGTAAGCGTGTAGACCAGTTGCATGTATTGTAAGATAACAAAAATATTTTAAACAATAATATAGTTTATTGCAAGAAGCGTATGTTCTCTAGCAACTTTCGTGAATTTAGAGTATTTAATAAACACAGACTTTATAGAAAATTATCGTTTGTCGGAAGAACTCGTTAATTGCCTAAAAGCTATAGTTTCAATGATAAAAATTCCTGAATAACCTACATCTATTGTAAGATAATAAAAATATTTTAAACAATATTAACTTCTCATTTATTCAATAAAAGAAAAAAAATTGTTTTCTTATCGGTCACCACGCTCAAAAAGTGTAACTTGATTTAATATCAAAGAAAAAAAAAACAAAGAAAAAAATACTGCATAAATAAAATAAATAAATAATTATAATCGCATAAGTTTTAAAAAAAAAAAATAAGTTGATAAAAATGCTACGCAATAGCTTTACCGCGGCAGTCCGCGAGTGCCACACGTATTTTTTTTTTCATATTAATTGCTTACTGGTATTTGAAAAGGACGAAGAGAGAACGAAATGTGAAATATGGGTAAATCAGGAATGTCTAGAACAGGTAAATGAGATTGTATACTTGGGGAGTGCTTTCAGCCGGGATGGAAGATGTGATTTAGATGTGGACAGGCGTGTCGCTGCCGGAAACAAAGTCAATGGTGCCCTGAATGCATTAGTAAAAAGGCAAGGCGTGGTGAAGAGTGCACGCCTTGCAATACATAATGCAGTGTTGGTACCGACTTTGTTATATGGCAGCGAAACCTGGGTATGCCAGAAGAAGCATAAAAGCAAGTTGAATGCGGTGGAGATGCGATCTCTTCGTAAAATGTGTGGCGTTACCTTAGCCGACCGAAAGCGAAACGAAGAGATTCGCAATATGGCAGGATTGAAAGATGACCTTATCACAAAAATTGATAGGGGCATACTCCAATGGTTTGGGCACGTTGAACGAATGAGTGAAGACCGAATGGTGAAGAAAATATATAGAGCGAAAGTAAATATTAAAAGGTGTCGAGGTAGGCCGAGACTAACTTTCGAAGACCATGTGAGCAAATTGCTCGAAGAGGGTAGGGTCAAGAGTACTCGGATACATAGACGTGCATGTATGAAGAAGTTAATGAACCTGAAAGAAGCGAAAGAGGTATGTAAGGATCGTGACACTTGTCGATCTGTTCTCTCTGGCTACCCCGTTAGGGATTGTGCGTGAAGATAAGTAAGTAAGTAAGTAAGTAATTGCTTACTGCTAATTTTTAGATATAAAGTTGATACATTAGATAGCTAGTTATCAAAAACGTGTTCTGTAGGTAATTCGTAGGAGATAGCGTTATAGATTTGTGTTGACGTTTAAATGCTGCTTAAATCATCTGGATATTCGGTGGTCCACCACTCTCACAAGTCACTAAGAGTTTTTTTCCGCGTACGACCTTTCTGTGGAATAGTTTACCACTGGTGATTTTCCGGACCGAAACGACTTAGGGACCTTCAAGAAAAGTGCTTACTCCTTTCTAAAAGAACTACAAAGCACCTGCAATTTGTCTGGCGTTGCATTTGTTCATGGGCGGCGATAGTCACTTACCATCAGGTGAGCTGCATGCTCGTTTTCCCCCTCTCCTATAAAAAAGGAGCTATATAATTAATTTTGCATAAAAATTTTAGATTCAACGAAGCAATTTTTTTCTTACTCAAATCAACAGGTTAAATGTATATGTAATAATGTACAGTATTTACAGCGAAAAAAATTTAAATTTCTGTTTCTTCCGGCTAATCTTTGAAACGACTGAACCGATTTTGGGGGTGTTTTCATTAACTAATTGCTGTTGTTATATTTAGTCGCGGGCACAGCTAATAAGGAATAATTTTGTGCAGAACGCTCGCGTACCTAATGCGGCACTTGCGGCGAGTGTCGTTGCTGAGCGAGGCGACGGGCATGACGGCGCGCAACATGGCCATCGTGTGGGCGCCCAACCTGCTGCGCTCGCCCGCGCCGCAGCACGCGCTGCAGGGTGTCGCCGTGCAGGTATGTGTCCGCAGAACATAGAGTTGCAGCATGGTGTAGTGTGGCTGCACAACTTGTGCAACATGGCCATCGTGTGGACGCCCAACCTGCTGCGCTCGCCCGCGCCGCAGCACGCGCTGCAGGGCGTCGCCGTGCAGGTATGTGTCCGCAGAACATAGAGTTGCAGCATGGTGTAGTGTGGCTGCACAACTTGTGCAACATGGCCATCGTGTGGGCGCCCAACCTGCTGCGCTCGCCCGCGCCGCAGCACGCACTGCAGGGCGTCGCCGTGCTGGTATGTGTCCGCAGAACATAGAGTTGCAGCATGGTGTAGTGTGGCTGCACAATTTGTGCAATATGGCCATCGTGTGGGCGCCCAACCTGCTGCGCTCGCCCGCGCCGCAGCACGCGCTGCAGGGCGTCGCCGTGCAGGTATGTGTCCGCAGAACATAGAGTTGCAGCATGGTGTAGTGTGGCTGCACAACTTGTGCAACATGGCCATCGTGTGGGCGCCCAACCCGCTGCGCTCGCCCGCGCCGCAGCACGCGCTGCAGAGCGTCGCCGTGCCGGTATGTGTCCGCAGAACATAGAGTTGCAGCATGGTGTAGTGTGGCTGCACAACTTGTGCAATATGGCCATCGTGTGGAAGCCCAACCTGCTGCGCTCGCCCGCGCCGCAGCACGCACTGCAGGGCGTCGCCGTGCAGGTATGTGTCCGCAGAACATAGAGTTGCAGCATGGTGTAGTGTGGCTGCACAACTTGTGCAACGTGGCCATCGTGTGGACGCCCAACCTGCTGCGCTCGCCCGCGCCGCAGCACGCACTGCAGGGCGTCGCCGTGCAGGTATGTGTCCGCAGAACATAGAGTTGCAGCATGGTGTAGTGTGGCTGCACAACTTGTGCAACATGGCCATCGTGTGGACGCCCAACCTGCTGCGCTCGCCCGCGCCGCAGCACGCACTGCAGGGCGTCGCCGTGCAGGTATGTGTCCGCAGAACATAGAGTTGCAGCATGGTGTAGTGTGGCTGCACAACTTGTGCAACATGGCCATCGTGTGGACGCCCAACCTGCTGCGCTCGCCCGCGCCGCAGCACGCGCTGCAGGGCGTCGCCGTGCAGGTATGTGTCCGCAGAACATAGAGTTACAGCATGGTGTAGTGTGGCTGCACAACTTGTGCAATATGGCCATCGTGTGGAAGCCCAACCTGCTGCGCTCGCCCGCGCCGCAGCACGCGCTGCAGGGCGTCGCCGTGCAGGTATGTGTCCGCAGAACATAGAGTTGCAGCATGGTGTAGTGTGGCTGCACAACTTGTGCAACATGGCCATCGTGTGGACGCCCAACCTGCTGCGCTCGCCCGCGCCGCAGCACGCACTGCAGGGCGTCGCCGTGCAGGTATGTGTCCGCAGAACATAGAGTTGCAGCATGGTGTAGTGTGGCTGCACAACTTGTGCAACATGGCCATCGTGTGGACGCCCAACCTGCTGCGCTCGCCCGCGCCGCAGCACGCGCTGCAGGGCGTCGCCGTGCAGGTATGTGTCCGCAGAACATAGAGTTGCAGCATGGTGTAGTGTGGCTGCACAACTTGTGCAACATGGCCATCGTGTGGAGCGCCCAACCTGCTGCGCTCGCCCGCGCCGCAGCACGCACTGCAGGGCGTCGCCGTGCAGGTATGTGTCCGCAGAACATAGAGTTGCAGCATGGTGTAGTGTGGCTGTACAACTTGTGCAACATGGCCATCGTGTGGGCGCCCAACCTGCTGCGCTCGCCCGCGCCGCAGCACGCGCTGCAGGGCGTCGCCGTGCAGGTATGTGTCCGCAGAACATAGAGTTGCAGCATGGTGTAGTGTGGCTGCACAACTTGTGCAACATGGCCATCGTGTGGACGCCCAACCTGCTGCGCTGCGCCCCGCAGGGCGTCGCCGTGCAGGTATGTGTCCGCAGAACATAGAGTTGCAGCATGGTGTAGTGTGGCTGCACAACTTGTGCAACATGGCCATCGTGTTGGACGCCCAACCTGCTGCGCTCGCCCGCGCCGCAGCACGCACTGCGGGCGTCGCCGTGCAGGTATGTGTCGCAGAACAGGGCAGCAGTGTAGTGTGGCCCGTGCAGGGTGTCCGCAGAACATGAGTTGCGGTGGTGGCGTCGCCGTGCAGGTATGTGTCCGCAGAAATAGAGTTGCAGCATGGTGTAGTGTGGCTGCACAACTTGTGCAACATGGCCATCGTGTGGACGCCCAACCTGCTGCGCTCGCCCGCGCCGCAGCACGCACTGCAGGGCGTCGCCGTGCAGGTATGTGTCAGCAGAACATAGAGTTGCAGCATGGTGTAGTGTGGCTGCACAACTTGTGCAACATGGCCATCGTGTGGACGCCCAACCTGCTGCGCTCGCCCGCGCCGCAGCACGCACTGCAGGGCGTCGCCGTGCAGGTATGTGTCCGCAGAACATAGAGTTGCAGCATGGTGTAGTGTGGCTGCACAACTTGTGCAACATGGCCATCGTGTGGACGCCCAACCTGCTGCGCTCGCCCGCGCCGCAGCACGCACTGCAGGGCGTCGCCGTGCAGGTATGTGTCCGCAGAACATAGAGTTGCAGCATGGTGTAGTGTGGCTGCACAACTTGCGCAACATGGCCATCGTGTGGGCGCCCAACCTGCTGCGCTCGCCCGCGCCGCAGCACGCACTGCAGGGCGTCGCCGTGCAGGTATGTGTCCGCAGAACATAGAGTTGCAGCATGGTGTAGTGTGGCTGCACAACTTGTGCAACATGGCCATCGTGTGGACGCTCAACCTGCTGCGCTCGCCCGCGCCGCAGCACGCACTGCAGGGCGTCGCCGTGCAGGTATGTGTCCGCAGAACATAGAGTTGCAGCAGGGTGTAGTGTGGCTGCACAACTTGGGCAACATGGCCATCGTGTGGGCGCCCAACCTGCTGCGCTCGCCCGCGCCGCAGCACGCGCTGCAGGGCGTCGCCGTGCAGGTATGTGTCCGCAGAACATAGAGTTGCAGCATGGTGTAGTGTGGCTGCACAACTTGTGCAACATGGCCATCGTGTGGACGCCCAACCTGCTGCGCTCGCCCGCGCCGCAGCACGCACTGCAGGGCGTCGCCGTGCAGGTATGTGTCCGCAGAACATAGAGTTGCAGCATGGTGTAGTGGGGCTGCACAACTTGTGCAACATGGCCATCGTGTGGACGCCCAACCTGCTGCGCTCGCCCGCGCCGCAACACGCACTGCAGGGCGTCGCCGTGCAGGTATGTGTCCGCAGAACATAGAGTTGCAGCATGGTGTAGTGTGGCTGCACAACTTGTGCAACGTGGCCATCGTGTGGGCGCCCAACCTGCTGCGCTCGCCCGCGCCGCAGCACGCGCTGCAGAGCGTCGCCGTGCCGGTATGTGTCCGCAGAACATAGAGTTGCAGCATGGTGTAGTGTGGCTGCACAACTTGTGCAACATGGCCATCGTGTGGACGCCCAACCTGCTGCGCTCCCCCGCGCCGCAGCACGCACTGCAGGGCGTCGCCGTGCAGGTATGTGTCCGCAGAACATAGAGTTGCAGCATGGTGTAGTGTGGCTGCACAACTTGTGCAACATGGCCATCGTGTGGACGCCCAACCTGCTGCGCTCGCCCGCGCCGCAGCACGCACTGCAGGGCGTCGCCGTGCAGGTATGTGTCCGCAGAACATAGAGTTGCAGCATGGTGTAGTGTGGCTGCACAACTTGTGCAACATGGCCATCGTGTGGACGCCCAACCTGCTGCGCTCGCCCGCGCCGCAGCACGCACTGCAGGGCGTCGCCGTGCAGGTATGTGTCCGCAGAACATAGAGTTGCAGCATGGTGTAGTGTGGCTGCACAACTTGTGCAACATGGCCATCGTGTGGACGCCCAACCTGCTGCGCTCGCCCGCGCCGCAGCACGCGCTGCAGAGCGTCGCCGTGCCGGTATGTGTCCGCAGAACATAGAGTTGCAGCATGGTGTAGTGTGGCTGCACAACTTGTGCAACATGGCCATCGTGTGGGCGCCCAACCTGCTGCGCTCGCCCGCGCCGCAGCACGCGCTGCAGGGCGTCGCCGTGCAGGTATGTGTCCGCAGAACATAGAGTTGCAGCATGGTGTAGTGTGGCTGCACAACTTGTGCAATATGGCCATCGTGTGGACGCCCAACCTGCTGCGCTCGCCCGCGCCGCAGCACGCCCTTCAGGGCGTCGCCGTGCAGGTATGTGTCCGCAGAACATAGAGTTGCAGCATGGTGTAGTGTGGCTGCACAACTTGTGCAACATGGCCATCGTGTGGACGCCCAACCTGCTGCGCTCGCCCGCGCCGCAGCACGCACTGCAGGGCGTCGCCGTGCAGGTATGTGTCCGCAGAACATAGAGTTGCAGCATGGTGTAGTGTGGCTGCACAACTTGTGCAACATGGCCATCGTGTGGACGCCCAACCTGCTGCGCTCGCCCGCCCGCAGCACGCACTGCAGGGCGTCGCCGTGCATGTGTCCGCAGAATGGCGTCGCCGTGCAGGTATGTGTCCGCAGAACATAGAGTTGCAGCATGGTGTAGTGTGGCTGCACAACTTGTGCAACATGGCCATCGTGTGGACGCCCAACCTGCTGCGCTCGCCCGCGCCGCAGCACGCACTGCGGGGCGTCGCCGTGCAGGTATGTGTCCGCAGAACATAGAGTTGCAGCATGGTGTAGTGTGGCTGCACAACTTGTGCAACATGGCCATCGTGTGGACGCCCAACCTGCTGCGCTCGCCCGCGCCGCAGCACGCACTGCAGGGCGTCGCCGTGCAGGTATGTGTCCGCAGAACATAGAGTTGTAGCATGGTGTAGTGTGGCTGCACAACTTGTGCAACATGGCCATCGTGTGGACGCCCAACCTGCTGCGCTCGCCCGCGCCGCAGCACGCACTGCAGGGCGTCGCCGTGCAGGTATGTGTCCGCAGAACATAGAGTTGCAGCATGGTGTAGTGTGGCTGCACAACTTGTGCAACATGGCCATCGTGTGGACGCCCAACCTGCTGCGCTCGCCCGCGCCGAAGCACGCACTGCAGGGCGTCGCCGTGCAGGTATGTGTCCGCAGAACATAGAGTTGCAGCATGGTGTAGTGTGGCTGCACAACTTGTGCAACATGGCCATCGTGTGGACGCCCAACCTGCTGCGCTCGCCCGCGCCGCAGCACGCACTGCAGGGCGTCGCCGTGCAGGTATGTGTCCGCAGAACGTAGAGTTGCAGCATGGTGTAGTGTGGCTGCACAACTTGTGCAACATGGCCATCGTGTGGGCGCCCAACCTGCTGCGCTCGCCCGCGCCGCAGCACGCGCTGCAGGGCGTCGCCGTGCAGGTATGTGTCCGCAGAACATAGAGTTGCGGCATGGTGTAGAGTGGCTGCACAACTTGTGCAACATGGCCATCGTGTGGACGCCCAACCTGCTGCGCTCGCCCGCGCCGCAGCACGCACTGCAGGGCGTCGCCGTGCAGGTATGTGTCCGCAGAACATAGAGTTGTAGCATGGTGTAGTGTGGCTGCACAACTTGTGCAACATGGCCATCGTGTGGACGCCCTACCTGCTGCGCTCGCCCGCGCCGCAGCACGCACTGCAGGGCGTCGCCGTGCAGGTATGTGTCCGCAGAACATAGAGTTGCAGCATGGTGTAGTGTGGCTGCACAACTTGTGCAACATGGCCATCGTGTGGGCGCCCAACCTGCTGCGCTCGCCCGCGCCGCAGCACGCACTGCAGGGCGTCGCCGTGCTGGTATGTGTCCGCAGAACATAGAGTTGCAGCATGGTGTAGTGGGGCTGCACAACTTGTGCAACATGGCCATCGTGTGGACGCCCTACCTGCTGCGCTCGCCCGCGCCGCAGCACGCACTGCAGGGCGTCGCCGTGCAGGTATGTGTCCGCAGAACATAGAGTTGCAGCATGGTGTAGTGTGGCTGCACAACTTGTGCAACATGGCCATCGTGTGGGCGCCCAACCTGCTGCGCTCGCCCGCGCCGCAGCACGCACTGCAGGGCGTCGCCGTGCTGGTATGTGTCCGCAGAACATAGAGTTGCAGCATGGTGTAGTGTGGCTGCACAATTTGTGCAACATGGCCATCGTGTGGGCGCCCAACCTGCTGCGCTCGCCCGCGCCGCAGCACGCGCTGCAGGGCGTCGCCGTGCAGGTATGTGTCCGCAGAACATAGAGTTGCGGCATGGTGTAGAGTGGCTGCACAACTTGTGCAACATGGCCATCGTGTGGACGCCCAACCTGCTGCGCTCGCCCGCGCCGCAGCACGCACTGCAGGGCGTCGCCGTGCAGGTATGTGTCCGCAGAACATAGAGTTGTAGCATGGTGTAGTGGGGCTGCACAACTTGTGCAACATGGCCATCGTGTGGACGCCCTACCTGCTGCGCTCGCCCGCGCCGCAGCACGCACTGCAGGGCGTCGCCGTGCAGGTATGTGTCCGCAGAACATAGAGTTGCAGCATGGTGTAGTGTGGCTGCACAACTTGTGCAACATGGCCATCGTGTGGACGCCCAACCCGCTGCGCTCGCCCGCGCCGCAGCACGGCGCAGGGCGTCGCCGTGCAGTTTTTTTTTTTTTTTTTTTTTTTTTTTTATAGAAGAGGGGGCAAACGAGCATGTGGCTCACCTGATGTTAAGTGACTACCGCCGCCCATGATCAACCGCAACACCAGGGGAATTGCAGGTGCGTTGCCGGCCCTTTAGAAAGGAGTAAGCTCTTTTCTTGAAGGTCCCCAGGTCGTATCGGTCCGGAAAAATCACCGGTGGTAAATTATTCCACAGAGAGGTTGTACGCGGAAGAAAACTCCTTTTGAAACGTACAGTGGTGGACCGCCAAGCATCCAGATGGTGTGGATGGTATCGGGACGTTTGCCGTGTAGTGCGTTCACGAAATTTGGCGGCTGGGATTAATCCGAACAATTCCTCAGAGCACTCCCCGTGATAGATGCGATAAAATACGCAAAGAGATGCAACATCTCTTCGCAGCGCCAGTGAATCGAGCCGATCGGAAAGCACTCGGTCGTCGACGATTCGAGCCGCTCTGCGCTGGATGCGGTCAAGTGGAAGGAGCTGGTACTGGGGAGCCCCAGCCCAGAGATGGGAACAGCATTCCATGAGCGGCCGAACCTGCGCCTTGTAAAGTTGCAGGCGGTGTGCCGGCATGAAATACTGTCCCGCTCTGCTGAGCACGCCAAGCTTTTTAGAGGCCAATTTGGCCTTCCCTTCCAAGTGACCACGAAACTGCACGTCACTCGATATGTCGACGCCGAGGATTCCGATACTGGCTGAGGCAACAAGGGGAGTGCCTTGAAACTGAGGGGATACGACAAAGGGGTTCTTTTTAGCGGTTAACGCGCAAACTTGTGTCTTCTGGGGGTTAAACTGGACTAGATTTAGTCGCCCCCAATCCGAGACTCTGTCCAGCAGAGACTCGACTTCAGACACAAGTTTGTCCCGGCACTCAGAGACGTTTTCCCGAGAAATATTTGCTCGGCCGGTGTAAAGAGCATCACCAGTGCTGTCATCTGCATAGCAATGAATGCTACGGGTTTGCAACATATCATTGATATGCAGAAGAAACAGCGTTGGCGATAGCACGCAGCCCTGTGGAACACCAGCATTAATAAGCTTGCAATCGGAGCTTGCACCGTCTACAACGACCTTGATGCTCCGATCTGCAAGAAAACTGGTGATCCAATCGCACAATTTCTCGGGAAGCCCATAGGAAGGGAGCTTCGAAAGAAGCGCTTTGTGCCAAACCCGATCGAAGGCCTTCGCAATGTCCAAACTAACGGCCAATGCCTCCCCCTTGGACTCTACTGCCTCCGCCCATCTGTGAGTTAGGTAGACCAGAAGATCACCAGCTGACCTACCACGGCGAAAACCGTATTGGCGGTCACTAATCAGCTGGTGATCCTCAAGGTACCTCATGAGCTGGCAGTTTACAATGGACTCCATTGTTTTGGAGAACAAGGAGGTGATGGCGATAGGCCGGTAGTTCGACGGGTCTGAGCGGTCGCCTTTTTTAGGGATCGGGTGGACGAAAGCCGTCTTCCATGATTTTGGGACTACGCCTAGGGAGTAGGAGTACCGGAAAAGACGCGTTAAAACCGGTGCCAACTCTGGAGCACACGTCCTCAGCACAATTGGGGGGATTCCATCAGGCCCACTCGACTTATGGATGTCCAGGGAGAGGAGTGCTTTGCGAACCGAGCGCTGAGTGAAGTGCACTTCCGGCATGGAGAACTCACACCGCGGGATGGTCGGCGGCGTACTCCCCCCGTCATCGAGAGTCGAGTTAGACGCAAAGAAAGAGCCTAGAAGATCGGCTTTCTCCTTTGCGGTGTGGGCCAGTGAGTCGTCCTCCCTGTGCAGAGATGGAAGAGATGGCTGACAGAAATTCCCCTGGACAGCCTTGGCGAGAGACCAGAATGCACGGGTTCCAGAAGGAAGACGAACTAGTCTCTCGCCAATTCTGCCTATGTGCTCTGACTTTGCCTTGGCAATGACTCTTTTGAAGGACCTAGAGGCGGAATTATACTTCTTTTTTAGAGCGCTGGTGTTTACATCCCTGGACGCTGATGCGTCAGCCCAGGCTTGGTAGCACTCCTGCTTATAGCATGATGCTATTTTACAGGAGCGACCAAACCATGGCTGAGATTTGCCTCCAATGGGCACCACAGAGGAAGGAATAAAAAGTTCCATACCCTGAAGTACCACATCAGCGACAGAATCCGCAACAACGTTGGGATCATCCGGCGAGAAGCAAACCCGCCCCCAAGGGTAGGATGCAAAGAAAGACCGCATCCCATCCCAATCAGCTGACCTATAGTGCCAAACACGGCGGCAGCCTGCAGAATGCAACCGCGATTTCAGCGTGAGTGGCACCACACTCCGGACAAGACAATGATCCGAGGAGCCTAAAGGGGGCGTCGACGGAAATCTGATATCCGTCCGGGTGAGAGGTCAGCAGAAGGTCCAACAGGGAAGGTGCATGATCCTCCACATCTGGAATCCGCGTAGGCGAAGTAACCAGTTGTGTCAGACCATATGCCAAGGCAAAATCACGAACAGATCTCCCCGCATGATCGGTTAAACGTGAACCGAGCCATTCGGCGTGATGGGCGTTGAAGTCGCCGAGGATCACGATCTCTGCGGAGGGGATCTGCTGTAGCAACGAATCTGCAGCCATTTGGACGTGGTCGAAGAGTCGGTCTGTTTCGGCATTACCGCTATGGGACCTATAGAGGCACCCGTAGACGCGCGGATGGTCGTCGCTGTCTACGCGTAGCCAAAGGATGGACAGGTCCGAACCTTCAAGTCTGCCGAGGCGTCGAGAACAGATGTCCTCTCTGACGTAAACGCAAACTCCAGCCCGAGGCACAAAGGAGTGTTCCAGTTTGTACCCCGGGTAGGAGAGATACGAGACATCAGCCGGAGAGGACACCTGCGTCTCGGTCAGAAAGAGCAGAGCCGGCCTCGCCGTCTCGAGATGGTAGTGGACGGCGTTTAGGTTAGAGTGAAGTCCCCTGATATTGCAGAAATTCACGGACAGCGTGGCAGGGGTCGCCTTGGTCTTGTTGCTCCGTTTGCCCCGAGCAGTTTTAGTCTTGAGCGGAATATTGCCCCCCCCCCCAGAGTACGCGGGGCAGCCTGAGCACCCACGCTCAGAAGTGGAGAAACATGGTCGTGGATGCTCAGCGAGGGATTCTCCAGGGGTGCTGGTACCCTCCTGGGGTAGTCTATCATTTAATTCCGCTACCATGTTGATGGGGGGGGGGGGATTTGGGCCTATGTATGTGTCCGCAGAACATAGAGTTGCAGCATGGTGTAGTGTGGCTGCACAACTTGTGCAACATGGCCATCGTGTGGACGCCCAACCTGCTGCGCTCGCCCGCGCCGCAGCACGCGCTGCAGATCGTCGCCGTGCCGGTATGTGTCCGCAGAACATAGAGTTGCAGCATGGTGTAGTGTGGCTGCACAACTTGTGCAACATGGCCATCGTGTGGACGCCCAACCTGCTGCGCTCGCCCGCGCCGCAGCACGCACTGCAGGGCGTCGCCGTGCAGGTATGTGTCCGCAGAACATAGAGTTGCGGCATGGTGTAGTGTGGCTGCACAATTTGTGCAACATGGCCATCGTGTGGGCGCCCAACCTGCTGCGCTCGCCCGCGCCGCAGCACGCGCTGCAGGGCGTCGCCGTGCAGGTATGTGTCCGCAGAATATAGAGTTGCAGCATGGTGTAGTGTGGCTGCACAACTTGTGCAACATGGCCATCGTGTGGACGCCCAACCTGCTGCGCTCGTCCGCGCCGCAGCACGCCCTTCAGGGCGTGCGGGTACGCCGTTGTTGAAACACATAGTGCTCGCAGTACGCTATTGTCGAAACACATGGTAACCGCAGCACATAGTGCCTTCGGACCGCCGTATTCACAGTATACTGTATCCGTAGCACGCCATATCCGCAGCGCGCTGTGTCCGCAGCACACTGACTCCGCAACACATCGAGTTCAAAGGACATCGCGGCTGCAGCACACCGTGTTCACAACATGCCGTGAATAATGGTGGCAAACGAGCACATAGTCTATCTGATGGTAATGGACGCTGTGGCCATAGACGTCTACATCTATTTCGATTGAAAATAAAAATGCGGATGCGTTGTCACCCCTCAAGACTATGATCGAATGCCTCCTATCCAAAAAGGGTATACGGTTCTGTACACTCACCACACGAAACACAGAAGCATTAAGCTGCAACTTAACACCATTATTTTTTGAGAGCGTGGCCCTTCCTTAGGCGAGCTGCACATTGCAGCTGACATTTGTGCTGCAACTGTAATATATTACAACACGACTGTGTCCCACTATTTACAATTGTTAAATTACAAGAAAAAGGGTTTATAAATATTTAATGAACGTACTATATTGCATTACGTTGCAATTTAAAAATCTCGTAATTTTCTAGGCAGTGGTGACGGAGTTTCTGATCTGCTATGCCGAGGAATTGTTCGCGCAGGAGCAGGGCGCTGACTCTGGGCCGGATTCCTTGGAGCAGGTACTTATTAATTTTAATTATTTTATAAAAATCTAACGTAAAGTTTAGTTGTATGTTAGTTGCAAATTTTTTTGTGAATAAATAATTGTTACACAAATGCAAATAAATAATGCATCGTTTTCTTATTCTGATTGGCATTTTACTCACCCCGCATGTGCCTATACCATAAATGAAATATGGTTTAAATATTCGGAAGTATTAGGATCACGCTATGCTAATAAATGCTGACATTATTTTCGTGCCTCAAGTTCGTAATTGTCAATTGAGTCTACATAGGCCTCACCCATGAAATGTTACTGAATACGAGTGGCTCATACCCGCATCTATCGACTTTGTTTTATGACGTTTCTTTTGGGAGGTTCAGCAATGGAGTTGTGAGGGACTGTAATGATGATGATACTGATGAGTTTATTCTGCAGAATAATAAAACGTACTTTGAATTTAATTTTATTTCAGGATCGCGATACTCAAGTGGAGTTGCGCGGCAACGAGTCGTGTAGGAGGCCGAAGAGTTTACCTTTGAATCCCCCTACTAAGCTGCTAAGGTATGTAGTTTCATTTTTATATTTAATTTTTATAGAATAAGGATGACAAATGAACAAAAAGTCCACCTGATGTTAAGTGGTTGGTTTAGACTTCTACATCTATCATCAACTTAGAACCAGAATGCAGATGCAGTGTTACTCATGAGGACTAAGATAGGATGCCTCGTTTCCAGTAAAATGGGTTTCCAGTTCTCTATATTTATGTTAAATAATTAAAATTTGGAGAACGAGTTACCTTTTTATACCAAGAAACCCTTAAATCTTAGGCTTACTAGCTGCAAAAGAAAAATAGTGTCTGTATTTTTATTTTCATTTCGAAGAAACTAAAAGGGAAACATAGTTGTACTAAATATTTAGGTAGGAAGAGTTCTAGCGTATGCTAAATGTATATTAAGAAGTGGTAGCTGACGTGACACGTGTCAATCGTGAATAATTCGTTCATTTGACCCGGGTCGCATTAAAGTATAGATGATTGCGATTACGTCTCATCGTGTTAGAGCTACGATGCAGCTAATTTAGTTGTAGCACGAATGGGTCGGCTTGACCGAGGTAGGACCTCGCTCTCACTGAATACCAGCATAAAGTAGCAGCTTAATGCTGCTGCTATGTTTCGTATGGTGACTGTAGACAACCGGAGACCCTTTTTACTGGAAACGAGGCATTCCTTCTTAGTCTTCAGGGGTGACAACGCATCTGTATTTTGATTTTTAATCGAAGATAAATGTAGATGTCTATAAGCCACAATATTCACTTACCATCAGGTGGACTGAATGCTCTTACGTCACGCTTATTCTATGAATATATAAAAAAAAAATTTGGTAGTTCCGAGTCAAACGATTGACAGGAACAACGTTCAAAGAATATAGTAATGTATGACGACCGAGATTATCGGGTGGATCTCATAGATCACAGAGTACTGAAACTAAATGAATGATCGGCCTGAATGACCCGGTTCGTAAACGAATCAGTTACTAGAAATGAATGACTGACACATAGCTATGACGTATGTGTTGTTGTGTGGTGCAGCCTGGAGGAGGCTCGGCGTCGCGGACGGCGTTCGTGCGCGCCGCCCGCTTCAGGAGCCATCGCTGCCGCTGCCGCTGCCCCCGCGCACCCCGCTCCCTCTCCCTCGCCCGCGGACTCAGCGCACCGCGAACTGCGCCCCAAGGGGCACTTGCAGCCCAAGTACATCGAGGTACGTAACAGCGCCCCGCGCCCTCCCCCTCGCCCGCGGACCCCGCGCACCATGAGTTGCGCCCCAAGGGGCACCTGCAGCCTAAGTACGTCGAGGTGCGTAGCACCGCCCCGCGCACCCCGCACCCTCCCCTCGCCCGCGGACCCCGCGCACCGTGAGTTGCGCCCCAAGGGGCACCTGCAGCCTAAGTACGTCGAGGTGCGTAGCACCGCCCCCGCGCACCCCGCACCCTCCCCTCGCCCGCGGACCCCGCGCACCTTGAGTTGCGCCCCAAGAGGCAACTGCAGCCTAAGTACGTCGAGGTGCGTAGCACCGCCCCGCGCACCCCGCACCCTCCCCTCACTCGTGGACCCCGCGCACCGCGAGATGCGCCCCAAGGGGCAACTGCAGTCTAAGTACATCGAGGTATGTAGCACCGCCCCGCGCCCTTCTCCTCGCCTCCCAACCCCGCGCACCGCGAGCTACGCCCCAAGGGACACTTGCAGCCCAAGTACATCGAAGTATGTAGCACCGCCCCGCGTAACCCCGTGACCTCCTCCTCGCCCGCCCTCGAACCGGCTACGGAGGTACGTAGCAAAATCCACTTTTTTTGGTTTTCTAAAAACACAGGTTTCTGAGAGTACCTCAATATATTGAAAAAGCATTGCGAAATTCAAAAATTTTAGTTGGTAGTAAGTAATACGGTATTCAACCTGAGTCGCCGATTAACGAAAATTAATTTAAAACCGTTGCATCACACGAGTATGTCTGTGTAACGACGAACCTTCCGAAAAGAACACTCTGTTCTTAACACCACTCAATCTATAATCATCACCTATATACCCTATTAACACTAGAAACGCTGAAGTTTAAGACCCCCCTTCGACCGCCGTCGTGACAATTTTATCCCAGTCTATTGATAATAATCATTGGTACAATATACGAAATACATGATTGAAACTCTTTGTAAAATATTTAAAACATGTTTATTAATCAAATTTAATTAAATTCTCAATGCTTGAAAAACAAACAATTAACTCTAATCTAATTTTTAGACTTCAAATATTTCGCTAGTGAAAGAATTTCTACCCTTATGATGTAAGGTAAATTTCTTCGCAATCCACAATTTCACAACTCAATTAAATGCTCATTTGGTCCATTATCATTTTTTCTAAGATAAGGAAACGTCTGCAAAGTTATTTTCCCTGTTTTCTAGTTTAAGAGTGCATTAGTAATAAATTCGTAATATATTTCGTAAATCATAACAAACTTACCTTTGCTCAGTCTTTCGCGTCTATAAGACTTGTCATTGAATCGAAGTACTTCATTTTCTCACGAAAACAATAACAAGACATTGTATAAACTCCTTAGGGCGCAGACCGTACATCGAAATATTCTTTAAAGCAATGATGGGATAAAAATGACCCAGCGGCAGTTCTAAGTTAATTTTTTTTTTTCATAAACTATTCTTATAAAATTGAAAACATTTTAAATTAGTTCACTACATAAAATAAATAAAAGTCTAGAAGTTTTATCGGCCTAAATAAAAAAGTTAGAGTCAATTAAACTTGCGGGACCAAGGATGGGACGGCGGTGCTTGTAGTGTTAAAGTCTATTTGCCACCGGAGTCACGCTTGACAACCGCAGATTTTTATTATTTTGAATTGTTATTAAAAAGATGTTTCAGTTTCCCTCTGACACCCACGAGATAATATGCGGTAAAAAATCCTTGTCGTCACTTTTGACCCTTTCCCATTTTAAAGAAGCTTTGCATTACTTGCTTTGCACTTGCCACTACTGCCCGTTCTGACAAGTCATAAAAAAGTTCGACTGCTACGTGGCGCAGTGGCTTAGTGGCGTCGTTTGTTGTGTTTGTAAACTGCCTCCACGATACAGGAGAAATCCTAGTGCGGAGGTAACGTTTTGAAAGAAAAAAGATAAACAAGATAAATAGCTTCACTCAAAACTATTTATTTTGTTTTTTTGTACAGTCTCCTTTTAAAAATAATACAAAAAGCGATTCCAAAGACTATATAAAAACAAAATATGACATGGAATGTTGACTGACATAAGAGAACCTAATGCTAGATGCATTTTGTGCCTTCAAGATATAATTTGCTACATATTACAGATAATTATTGTGTTTAATTATCTTATAGTCAAATGTTATTTACATAAATTTAGCTTTTCGAATTATACTAAATTTTATTTTCCAAGAATTTGCTCCTTTGAGGCAGATTAAATTAGTTATCATAAAATAATTGTAGAGTCTGTAAGTCTTTCATTAAAATATAATCATTTTTATTCAACATGGATTATAAGAATACTTATTTAATGAAATATGCTTTTTGAAGAACTGGCAAGAAACTCAATGGATGTTGTTAAAATTAATTTACGATAAAATATGTTGTAAAATTACATATGAAAACATTTAAAATCAGCACGGTAGGGGTCGCCTCATTCCCAGGGGTAATCAATCGTGTTCTGTTTATTAGTAAAATAACCCTTAATAAACAATGTTTGCTTAATTAAAATTTTTAACTTTTTGAATGACAAGTTCTACATATTTTTTGGGACTTTGTAAAAGAGGAACTATCTCCCATGAAGGAATAATTGACTTTTTTTTTCAGGTTGGTTCTGGACCAAACAATCTGCCTCAATATCACACTGTGTTGGACTTTCCATTGGCAGGTATGCATTTTTATTTTTATACGTTATTAAAATAATAAACATTCCCTTAATCTTTATGAAAACAAAATGCAACATATCTACGAGTGTGTTAGATATTTTTAGTATGCTGATTTTATGATATATATTTATTGATATAAAATAATTTAATAATTTAACTTACTATCATTTCAAATCATGATTACATAGGTTTTGAGCTGCGATTTATGATCACATAGATAATTGCCGTAGTAGAATGCTTACCTTAAAAATTTTTAGAGGACATGACTTGTACGCTGCAACCGCACATATCGCCCGATCAGAATTTTCGCCTCATATACTTATTTTATTGTTCATCAAATCAGTTCACATAGCATCGCCACACAGCGCGTTCGTGTACTTATCCTTAGCTATTAACAGTTTTTAAATATATTTTATATTTTACCTCAAGCAGCATACTTTATTTATATCATCATCAGCAGCATTTTAAGGACTATATTATTTACAAATTTAGAAATATTACAGTATGAAAACACTCTTTCTCTATATTGATAAAAAATTCCTGAAATTTCTTTTATAATAAGAAACAAGACGCCTAGTTCCTCAACCCTTATTTTTGAATATATAACACACTTTTGACCCGAATGCAGGTCCGTTTTGCGTAACTTACGTACAATTGTATAAAAAAACCTAGTGTATTTGATAGCGTGATTTACGTGTTTTTACAGGAGGTAAACGTGGTCTGAAGCGGTCACCGTCTGGCTGGCGCGGTCTGTTCTGGCGCAGCAAGCTGCAGCGAGCGCGGCCGCCCGCGCCCCTCGCGCCCCTCACTGCGCCCCTCGCCGCGCCCCTCGCACCTCTTGCGCCACAAACGCAACAGGTCACGCCTCACTGCTTTCTCCTTATTGCATACTTCGTCCGCGCCAAGCGCACACCGCACGTGCCAAATTCAACCTTACTACATGTACTTTAAATGCTGTTGTCGCACTTGCTAAACAAGCATAGACGATCGCACACCACACACATGCCAAATTAGACCTTATATATCACATATATTACAAGAAACCTTACCGCCTACACCTTAAGGCCTTATTGCTGATCCCACATCACGCACGTAATTGCAAATACTACTGCTACTTACTTATCAGTTCAAGTCCACTGTTGAACATCGCTCCTCCCCCATTGATCACCCCAAAGTACGGCCCGGAACCATCGACTGCCTTTTACACACCAAAACAAATCTTATTGAATACGCCTTAAGTGCTATTGTTAAACTCACTGATCACGCTTGGCTGCAAACTCTACTGTGGCGCGAGTTTATCGCAACATCGCGCACGTTTTACCGGACCGCACAAACTAAATTAAACTTTACTGTCAACACCTTAAGTTGTATTGTTCACTTCTTACTCATTAGAACACCCTTAAGCCACCATGATGACCCAAGCGTGCTTCTCACCACATTCCTCATTTTCTCAACACATCGACACCGTACCAAATTAAACCTAACTGTCTGCGCCTTAAGAACTTTCGGTAACCTTACTAGATCACAGTAAGCAGACGGCATGATTGAGGCCCTTTCCATACCGCAATATTATCTTCGCACCACGCGCACTAATCTCGACCTAACAACATACGTCTTTAGTGTTATTGTGGGGCTGACAAGTGCTTACCGCATTGCATGCTTATTATTATCTGCTGCTGAACCCGTGTTCTATGCCTTCCACAAGGAATGTCAAAAAGCACGATCTTACCAGATCGTCACTCCATCTAGTGGAGCACGCCTTAAAAGAGACTTTTCATATCTGGCCATTTAGCTATATGACCCATTCCACTTCAAGTTACTTATCCGCTGGGTAACACGGGCTACTCTGGTTCTATTGCGAATATCATTACAAAGTCCATCACACAAAACTCCTATATCGGCCCTCTATGTAGCTTTGTCATAATATTCATTCGGTATTAATTACATACTATTTAGCTTGACTTACAAAAGAAATAATAAATAATGAAATTTCTATTTGTGTTACAGGATGTGATAATGTGTGGGGCTCTACGCCCGGTGAAGTCCTGTGAATCTCTGGCCTCTGACACCGACACGCTGGCACCCTTGGCAGAGAAAGCCAGCGCTCCTCTAAAGCATCACACCAGGTATTCACTGTTATATATTTATATATCGGAGTAGGTTATATCGGGTGTACACGGGTAAATTAAGAAATAAGAGCTCGTTACAAATTTTACGTTGCCCGACTGAGAAAGGAAACATGAAAAACTGGCTGATCTTGGAGGCTTGGTAGTCCACCACTGTGCGTTTTACTAGAAGTTTTCTTCTTCATACAACTTCTCTGTGGAATTGTTTACCACCGGCGACTTTTCCGAACCGATACGACTTAGATACCTTCAAGAAAAGAGCTTACTCCTTTCTAAAGGGTCAGCAACGCACCTGCAATTCCACTGGCGTTGCGGTTGTTTACGGGTGGCGGGTGTCACTTACCATTAGATAAGCCGCATGCTCGTTTGTCCCTTTTCTATAAAAAAAATATATGAAAAGTTCTTATGAATGACAAAACCTAAACTGGTTCGCAAAAACAATACCTGCCACAAATGTGATCTATTTGTGGAAGATCCTGTTTTTGCGAATTTTAAAAAGCCTAAATTGAATAAATAGATTTGATTTTGAGAAAGATTACCTATAAGTCGGTAGCTTTGGATTTTATTCAGAAGTTGTCGCCATGGTAGCCGTCCGAGATCATCGTAATATGCGTTTGTTGTTAGGTCGTCATCGTGCGACTCGTACTTCGAGCCGTGGCAGGCGGAGCTGGCGCACATGCGGCTGCGCCTGTCCCCGCAGGAGCGCGACCACCACATGTTCAGCGAGGAGGATGCGCAGGTACACCTGCACAACATATACATACATATGGACACATGCGGCTGCGCCTGTCCCCGCAGGAGCGCGACCACCACATGTTCAGCGAATAGGATGCGCAGGTACACCTGCACAACATATACATATATACACACTGTGTGTGTATAGTGAGTGAATAAAACGGTAAACACAGTTATATTATGGTTGTAGTAGGAATGTGAACCGGAGAAGTACCACGCTCTTACAGATTAGCAGCTTAATGCTGTTGTGTTTTATGTGGTGAATGTAGATAACCGGACACCTTTTTTAATGGAAACGGGGCATCTTATCTTAGTCCTCAGGGGTGACAATGCATCTGCGTTTTGGTACTTAATTGAGACTGAAATGGAATGCCTTGGTTCCAGTAATAAGGGTCTCGGGTTTTCTACACTCCACAAGAAACACAGCAGCAAGATGCTTCCATTTTACGCTGGTATTCTTAGAGAGCGTGCTCCTTCCCCGGTCGAGCCGACCCATTCGTGCTACAACTATAATATAGCTGCAGCGTGGCTCTACCATACTAAATCCTCCACTTATACCGCATCAATATACAAACATTTGCTAAATATAAAGATATTTACTTTGTAAAACGTGAGTAAAATAAATACGGGTGTTAAAAAACTTAAAATGAGCTACATGTTTTGCCATTTATGGCGTACAAAAATTGTATATTAATTATTATACTATCTATGTTTATCTATTATGCTAAGAAGCAAGGTTGGTTGTGTGCAGGAGTCGCAGTGGTCGTCCCCGGCGCAGTCGGGCGGCTGCAGCGCCAGCACCAGCCCGCGGCGGCTGCGCGTGGACGTGCACGCCGCCAGCGAGATGGCGGACAGGTAGGCGTGTGTAACTCTTAACGGAACTGACTCACTGAAGTCTTTCAAAAGATTGGTTCAGTAACAATGTTACAAATGCATCATTTGGATCTGGAACATTACTTTGCTCATTTAGTGCGACGCGTCTCGCTGGCGAGGCGACTGAGCCACAAGCGAGAGAGTGGCGAGTGAGCGCGCGAAATAATAACAATCTATACAAGTCAGAAAGAGATATCAAATGAGAAGTGTATAACTCAACTCGTACGGATTTTAGCTATAGTTATTCATGCACGTAAAAATGACCACTAAGGCGCTTACGTATCAAATACTATACGGTCGTCTTTTACATATAATGTTTACATTAGCAAGTTGTCATTTTACATTGATCCGGCACTAACTTGTCAAATTGTTTATGTTCGTTTGCGCCTCCTGTTTACTAAAACATACTGAGTTCTGTTTAGGATTTCTTTGCGTATTGATTATTGTGACTTACTTTCTTCCTTTTCATCATAAATAATACGCCAGCTTGCCATAAATTAAGGACTAGCCGCCAGTCCTAAGTCTGGATAAAATATAAAGGAGGATCGATTTTATATACAACCTTATTACGGTACACAATAAATAACAATAACTAAATATGCGATAAAAATAACCTAAGCACTTATATCATTCAGCATTGTTGCCACATAACATTTCGCTGAATCAGTTAGTAATAAAAGCCCGCGTCGCAACTTAATGTATTCGTAACATTTGTATTTTAGATCTTTTGAGTCGATGATCCAAATGAGCCAAATGAAACATATCAGTGCTTCGGAACATTTCAGTGATCGAGATGCAAATGTTCCAATCACAAAAATGATACACTGCCCACCTCCACGGAGAGGTAACTTACTGCCGCACTTTGCTTACTTTTCTTTGATTTTTTACGTTAAATATGTCTTTATATTTGCTTCCATAGTGGGAGGCAATTTAGAAAACGAATGATAACAAAATCTGGAGATACAATCATCTACATTCAAAATTGAATTACACCACTCGATAGCTAAAAAGATCAAAGTATTGGTTACGTTTATGATGAGTGTGACGCGTGGCGGAGGGGGGAGGTATTTTAAGGTCGTTTCGATACTTACACATACGTGTACGTGCAAGTAAAACACACGGCCGTATCCACTACACAACTATACCTCGATGTTTTCTTCTAATTCAAAATAAGGCTTACTCTTTACCTTTGCACATTTGTCGTGCATAATCTCTTCATTCTTCCAAAATTTTTATGAAGTAGTATTATTTAAAACACTATTATATAAATTACTTTACCTTTTTCGTACTCTTCTCATTTAATTATATTATCATATTATATATTATTTGAACATGCCTTTATTTACCCATTCTTTTTTTGTACACTCTATTTTTTAATCATTGTTTGCGTTAGTCCTCTACACAAAAGTGTTTTGGAGGAGATCTATTTCAGAGGGACAAGACCGCCTGTTGTAGATACTATAATTTAGATCTAACTTTACTCGTTTTCTGTATTTTTATGTACAATAACGAATAAATAAATAATCCATCTGTATCACACTATATACACTAAGCTGCTGGATCATGGGCTACTAACATAGTTTTCTCCGTTTTATTTAAATCGCCACGCTTAGTTAAGTGGGCTACATACGAGACGATATCGGTGGCGATCTAGGGTGGAAAGAAATCGGGGCTTTTATCGAGGCAGACCCTACACACGGGCCTGCCTAGCAGTACGCGATTGGACTTGGACCGGAACGCATATGCGGTAAAGTTCTTCAATATTCCTCCGACTCTCTTAAAACACCAACGTGTTGGTTTGGAATTAGCCATCTCGGTTAATTTATTCGAAAATAGAAAAAGAGGAGTTGCTGGGTGAAAAAATGGCTCCAAAAGAGACAAAAATTAAGCTACATAAACGTACTAAATGGTCTGTAATCCAAAGACATGATTAATTTTCTCCGGATGGATGAAGACAGTTTTTACAACCTTCTAGAATTTTTTTATATTTATGATTTCGCCACTTATATAAAACCATCAATTTCTCCTACCAATGCTATTTAGTTATTTCTTCTCTTTGTTCATTTCTGCTTTGGTCAAAATCGGGTTATGTACTACACACAACAAACAAAGAAATAACAAAATCGGGTTATGTACGAGTACTATTACACACACACAACAAACAAACAAAGAAATAAAATACTTTTGTTTAATGTAATCTTTATTTATGGATTAAAACTATCAAAAAATAAAATAGTTTATATATTTTTTTAAACATAAAGAAACCTTTAATTTCGGACATACTCCCTTCTATATAGCTTGTTTGTTGATGTGGAGATGGTGAAGGAGTAGGAGTTCAGTTAATTGTTGATAAGAGGATGAAGGCACGTAAGAGATCGAAGTGTGGTCTTGTGTTGATAGCGTGGGAATAGGAGTTGTTGAGGAGAGGCTTCATCCTCTCCTTACTTACTTCATGCACCCTACTTTACAAACGACAATAAAACAATTAGTTTAGTAGGCATTCTTGACTTCGCAAGGTCACAGTTTAGGGTGGATATAATTTGATTTGATGATTATTTATTCAATTTTTTTTTATTTTTTGTAAAATATCAGTGCCATAGGCTTCTACTCCGTTCACATGTTTAAAATGTAAAAAATTTTGTTATGTAAAAAAGGTCATTCAGTACCACTGTTTCGTTAACGTCCTTCTGCGAGGGCTGCCGGCAGCAACTGCCAAAAGTAATCGGGCCGATGCGCCTACACACACGCAGTACGGAGGGGGCGGGGCCCCGATCTAGGAAGCATCGGCTGCATTTTTGCTCCTGCCAGCCGATTAAGGAGGCGATATCGGCCACGACTTAGGATGGCCCTACATACGACACGATTTACAGGCAATCTAGGAGGCAGCCCCACTACTCCACCCTAGATTGCCACCGATATCATGTCGTATGTAGCCCGCTTTACAACTTGCTAAGTGGTCCTTACTCACAATGTACAACTAGCTACGGATATTTTAAGTCTTCGATGCTCTATGTATATCCTTCGCACCGACTTTAAGGGCTATTAAGTGAAAATAATTAAATTCTTTTAGATTTTTGGGGTTGGTTTTAAGTTTTTAAATACGAGGGCGACACTGAAAGTTTTTAGAACTGGCCACTTGTAAACGATATAATAAAAAAATAAGTTCAAATTTTGAAAATGGAACTCTTTGCCAATATTATTGTGTATGTATTTTATTGATTTGTCATTTGTTTACGATTTGGCGGAAAATTGAAAATTGTCGTCGGCGTGAATTTAACGCGAGAAAATTTTCGTACAATGATATTTTATGACTTTCGATGTCATTTAAGTCAACAAGAAAGTTATGATAGACTTCGATTGGCCTTTCACGATGAAGCCCCATCTCGTACCACTGTTTACTACTGGTTTAATGAGTTTAAACGTGGTCGCACTAATCTCACTGATGATCTGCGTGAGGGACGGCTTTCTACGGTGACGACTGAAGATGAAATCAGTGTTGTGTGGCGTATGATAGAGACTGACAAAAAAATACTTGTGGTACTCGGTGACTGCCGCGGTAAAGCTATTGCATAGCATTTTTTATCAACTTATGCAATTATAATTATTTATTTATTTTATTTATGCAGTTAAGTCTTTGATATTAAATAAAGTTACACTTTTTGAGAGTGGTGACCGATAAGAAAACAATTTTTTTTCTCTTATTGAATAAATGAGAAGTTAATATTGTTTAAAATATTTTTAATATCTTACAATACATGTAGGTTATTCAGGAATTTTTATCATTCAGTTAGCAGCTAGTGTACACGCATACGTCTAGTCGCACGCACACAAACACCGTGCCGAAGTCTGCCGAACTAAAACGACGTTAGACGATGCACGACTTTCAACGCCACACCTCCGTGCCCGTCGGAGTGGGGAGCGTGAGGTTTTTTTTTCGTTACGGAATTTCTGGATTCGGTCCCCGCGCTCAAGGCCCGCGATAGAAGCTATGCAATAGCTTAAAAGTGACTTATCAGCAGATTCGGACAAGTTTGGGCATCGGTATGAGTCAAGTACACAAATCCTACATGAACATTTAGTGGCCAGGAAACTTTGTGCCCAGTGGAAACCTCATAATTTGACAGAGGCCCAAAAACTCCGTCGTGTTCATTGGTGTCGTGAAGTGGTTCAAAGATTTAACGGAGGTGACTCAAATGCTGTGTTCGACATACTTACGGGTGAAGAAAACTGGATATTGTTATGATCCTGAAACTAAGAGACAGTCTTCTGTCTCTCTGGGTATTTCCTTTCGAGAAGTTGCCAAATAAAGTGAAAAGAGGTCAAAGCGTGGGAAAAAAGATGGTGGCCTCGTTCTTCGGAAGGACAGGTCATTACGCAACAATCGTTTTAGAGGAATGAAAAACAGTTACTGCAGCGTGGTACACTGACAATTGAATGTCACTTGTCTTGGAAAAAGTTCGGGAAGACCGCGCGATAAGATCCTCCTTCACCACGACAACGCCTCCTCGCACACCGCCAAGCAAACAGTCGACTACTTGGCGACGTCAGACGTGGAATTACTGGGTCACCCGCCCTGTAGCCCCGACCTCGCGCCTTGCGATTTTTATTTATTTCCGAGTATATAAGAATAACTTTAAGTAAAACGTTTTATGGACGCCGAGGAAATGAATGGAATGATGAAATGGAAAAGGAAAGGCTGCGTTTCAAAATGCCGTCGAAGAGACCCCGAAGGACGAGCGGGCAAGGTGCTTATCTTAGTGTTTTTTTTTATAGAAGAGGGGCAAACGAGCATGCGGCTCACCTTACGATAAGTGACTACCGCCGCCCATGAACAACCGCAACACCAGGCGAATTGCAGATACGTTGCCGGCCTTTTAGAAAGGAATAAGCTCTTTTCTAGAGGATTCTTAAGTCGTATCGGTCCGGAAAAGTCGCCGGTGGTAAACAATTTCACAGAGACGTTGTACGAGGAAGAAAACTCCTAGTAAAACGTACAGTAGTGGACCGTCAAGCATTCAGATGGTGAGGATGGTATCGATTAATCCGAACAATTCCTCAATAGTAGTAGGGGTGGTAGACACGATAGAAAACGCAAAGGGATGCAACATCCCTACGCAGCGCCAGTGAATCGAGCCGAGTAAATATCGGATGCAGTGATGTTTTGATGTAAATGGACACTATTTTGAAAAGATATAATAAAACTCATAACTTTTTTGTTTGAAAGTTTGTTCAGTTTTTGATTTTCTAAGAACTTTCAGTGTCACCCTCGTAATAGTTTATTTTTAATATTATACTATCCTAATATATTATCGATTTACTTCGTGTACTTTTATGCATATAAATAGGCCCATAACCTATAATTAAACACGTGAATGTCGCTAACAGACCAGTTTTATTTTTTTAAAGTATACATAGACAATCATACAAATTATAAATAAAACTCGCATAGTACCATAAAATACTTAATACAATATAGTGTCTATATTGCACATGAGATGGCGTTACTAGTAGCAAAATACAAATAAGGAGTACTTTTATTATTTTGATACATTGTTATAACAAAAAGTCACGTTATAAGTCGGTCTAATGTTCCAAGTAGTTATCCAATTTCATCAAAGATAATGTGACGATCATTTTCACTGTGACGTTTGGTAACCGGACCAACGGTCACGGTTATTTAAAAATAACACTTGTACAAGTCTAGTCGCCTCATACGACACCCACGGAATGGTATGGACATTCATACACCGCCGCTACACGGTAATTGATAACTTCTCAAAGCATGTCTCTTTTTGGTAAAGGGTCTTATAACAGTTTTATCAGTTCACAAGTTATTTAAGGTGTTTGGGGCTCTTTGTATGATTAATGATAAACTATTTTGATTATAACCCCTAACAATGATAACAAGATCATCAGCATAACCCAGTGTAATCAATGTAAAGATCTGCTATTTTGTACAATAATTTATCAACCGCAAGAGTCCTAAGAGGGGGTGACAAAACACCTTGGGGACAGCCTCTTGTATTTGCAACCTCAATTGAAGTTTGAAACAGCGCTATTTCTGCCCTTCTGTTTGAGAGCATCGACTTCATCCACCTGATGGTGGGATCAATGTTTTAACATGTCAGGTCCCAAATCAGCAGTAATGTGGGACTACTGTCCAAGGCACCCTCAATATCTAGAATGGCACAAAGAGCTATTTCTTTGTACTCCGGAGCTTTTTCGAACTTGTCAATAACACTGATCAGGGCTGTTTCCGTAGATTTGCCTCTGCGTTAAGCATGCTAATTGGTCGGTCGATCCCGTCTGCGTAACCCGCGTATCTTTCGCCTTGATGTTTACAGAAACAACACGTCTTTCTTTAATCCGGTCATTAGAATATGTAGAAATTTTGACGAGCCGAGATATCGTAACGCTGATCTAGACATTTTTAGTTCCAATATTTCACAATTTAGAAGATTCGTAATTGCTACGTTAAATATGTAAATTTCAGGAATATCATTAAATAAGTTCTTTTTTTTTTAATCGTCACTAGTACTATGTATTATTAGTTTATTTTTCCGTCATACTTGTTGTCATATTTTGTTTTGCTGTGCACACTTTATTGGATTATAGACTAGTTATAATATTTTTGTTACTGTCATTGAAGTAATATGTACTTACGTACTAGAACAGCTATTTCAAACAAAAAATGTGCGCTACTCAACCCAACATCGCGCGGTTGGTTTTTTATCATAGAATAAACATAGGTAGAATGATCCGTAGGTAATAGTAGATTGTATTGTTAAATAGGTAAATTATATCGAGAACAATATTTATATTGTGTCATTAATTTTGTATTTTATATTTGCTTATTTTATATAATATTACGTAATATTATATTACAATTACATTTTAATGATATTTTTATCTGTATATTTTATAAGGTATCTACATCAAATATAAAAAAAACATACTAAATGTATGTTTAATAAAACTTACTAACATAACATTTAAATTACAAATATATTTATTTAAATTAGAATAAGAGTCTTTCATAAATGCTGGGCACGTGAGAGTTAAAAATGGACGATATTATTCCACTTTGACTTTGATGTGGAAACCTAAAAATAAAATAAGAATAATAAGCAGATTTAAACATGAAATATTTAGCCTAATTATAATAACTTATATATGTTTCTACAAAAAAAATGTATAATAATATATTCGTCCTATACTTAAGTACCCACAGAAATGTCGCATCTGAACATATTAATTTCTTAATCTATATTCCACGACACGAGATGGCGTCTTAGGAATAATTTGTTTCATTATTAATCTATATTACTTTTTTATTGATTAAGTATCTTATTAACCGATGAAAAGTAATTCCTTGGTTTTTACTGACATTTCTTGAATTATTTGTGCAATATCTAAGTACACACGACGGCATATTTTTATCAAGAGATTTTTTTTTAAATCAACACAACACGTGACAACTCTACAAGCGCTTAGCGAGTGACTGATATGCACAGAGTAGCTGAATGCATTGTCGCCTCTAGTACTTAATACATAATAGCTCAATGGTTACTGTAAAAGTGTTTTGTATTGTTTTCAATCTGTTTGTGTGCCTTATTAATAATATAATAATTATATATTATCAATAATAAAAAAAAAAATAAAAATAGTGTAGTAAGCCTATTGAAAGTCTAATGTTGAATATAGGCTTCCAATAAAATGCCTCGTGGGGATATATTTTCAACTGATGTTTTTTTTTATTTTTAGTTATTAGGAAATATACACTACTACCCCATATCCCGTGGCTGTCGTAAAAAGCGACGAGGGAAACAAATCAGATGTTCAGCAGCTTCTTCCTAATAACGACGGTAAATAAAAACTGCGGTTGCCAACTCGTTAAAGGAGGCAGTCTATGTGGGAAGTTTATGTTCAGCAGTGGACTTTAGGCTGTAACGATAAGGGTACCAATCATTTTCGTGGTTAAATATGTAGTAATTAATGAAGGGGCTGTATGTATACAGGCGCCGCGTAGCTATGGAGGAGCAAGTGGCGCAGATGGGATACATCGACGTGGACGGCGAATCGCCGCGCGCCAAGCCCGCGCCCGAGAAGCGCCACGGCGCGCCGCCGCCGCCCGACCCCGACCCCGCCAAGAGGTACCCACACACATACATACATTATATGTATATAACACTTTCTTGAACCTGAAAAAACATAAATATAAATATGAACAAAAAGGAGAAAATAGAAATGAGGTCAATGGGCAGTCTTAACTCTAAAAGCGATCTCTTCCAGACGATCTTTAAATGGATAGGATTCCATGAAAACAATAAAATAATGTGTGTGGTTTAGTAACAAATATATATATATATATATATATATATATATATATATATATATATATAAAAAATATCTAATAGTGTAACCAGATAATAGTACAATCATAATATATACAGATGATTTTAAAAAAAATCAATGATGAAAATATATTGTGGATGGCGGATAGACTAGGTACGACTAACCGCAGATAAACGATATTTTTACTTGGTATCTATATACTTTGTAATCACTTTCACAAAACTGACAGTTACCCTTAACACCTTTACTTACTGGCGATTACAAAACAACTGACTAATCTATCGTCACAGCGGCCTTTTATACAATTTTAGTAATAACCTTATAATGAACATTAATATTCTTATTACTATAAATATTGCATCATAAATTATAAAATAACTGTCAATCAATATAGCAACGACTAAACAATAATAAAAATTGTTTATACACATTTAATAACATTAATCTTAGGTTCGCCGGAAGCTGACAAGCGGAAGGCGGCAGTTATTATTTAATCATCATTAATTTATTAAGTATTATAAAAATTAGGTTATTAATCTAATAAAGGTTTTGTAATTCTCTGGGAAATTAAAATAAACTTAATTATGCGACGAGCTCGTGAACCCAGGACCGGAAGACGATAACAATATATAATTATTTTTATTCATAATTTAAGAAAAGAATATTAACAATGCTATAAACATCACTAATATTCCCCTTAACCACTCGTGGTAAGCTTAAATTGCTTGTGTTACGAGTGGTTCACGCCAGTAGTCGAATGGCGGATTCGAACCCACGACCTTTTTTAGTTCGCGGTCCGCGCCCTGCCATTAGGCTACTGTCTATGTATGTTTTTTTTAATTTTATTTCTATACAATAAGAGTCACAAACGAGAACACATTCCGCCTGATAGTAACTGAATATTGTAGTCCATAGACATCTACATCTTTCCTTAATCCACAATAAAAATGCTGTGAAAGGTATGTCCAGTTTGTTTTACTCACCATATGAAACACTAAGCTACTTTTTACGGTAGTACTCTTTGAGAGCGTGATCCTTCCCCAATTGGAATAAGCTACTCGTGCTACAACCACAATATATTTGCGACGTGGCGCTACCAAATTATTATTATTCAACCGCTGGCGTAGCTCAACCACTACCTAATAAAGTTTGTTCTTAGGGCAAGCGAATAAACGGGCAGTGACCTTTATGCAACAGGGGTATCCAACCTTTTTTTACTATGATTCTATAAAATTCAACATAGCTAATCGTATAAATGGCAGAAAAATAAAAAAAAACATTATTGAACATTTTTATCAATTATAATAATTGGGTGCGAAAAAACAGAACAGAAAAAAGCGCTAGCAAGCGCTTGTAAGCAAAATGGCGAAACTAAACAGTTTTCGGCCAAGACACGTTTGTTAACTTCAGTAGCTCTGAGACAATCCGCCATTTTGCTTATTTAATTTGTTTGTTTTGAAGTAGAGTTTATAAGTTGTTTTGTGCAATATTAGTTTTAAGTAATATAATGACATGAATAGACATATACATGTTATTAAAAATTCATGATTGGTAAGTTTTTAATATAAATACTTTATTAACATATATTTAAATTAGGTTAGGTTCCCCGGTTAAAACTAACTTCGTGTCCTAGAGGAAAATAGCTACTTACGATTTGACATGACGCGAAAATAACGACTTGTTATTGACTGTTTTCCCACCTTCTGTAAAAACACGCTATACTTATTTATTGCGGGCATCGATTTATTTTTAATTAATTTACTGTGTTGCCAGTTACATAACCTGTTCATATTTATAAAAAGGCATGTTGATAGCCAAATCCAGATAAAAAATAATGTTTAATCTGTAATTCGTTAACAAATTTGAAAATATTATTGGTCATTAAATTGCAAAGCAGGAGAGCCGTGCTGTCAAATACCCGCAAAGGGAATGACGACCCATTAACTGACAAGTGTCTCAGTAATATACTGTGTGAGATTGTAGAAAATAAATACACATCTTCCATCCTGTTTACTTCTTTTAATCACTATTTTAAATTTTTTTTTATAAAAGTGATTAAAAGAAGTAAAAAAATTTTGTCTTACACAACCTCTGTCTTTCCTCTCCCAAACCAGAGAGATCGTCTTCCTTTCGCTGTCCGTTCTTTCTATGGTCTCTCCTCACACCTCACAGCTCCTTCGTAATATCTTCTTTTCCATACTATAATCGCGTCTTATTCTAACACAATAGACTAAACAATGTTTATACTTAACATTTACATTGATCTCAATCATACATCTTATACATTATATATCAGGTGTTAGGACTCGTTTTTTGAAGAAGATGCACCGCTGATATAGTTCTTGTTACAGATTGTGCAAAGACCGAGACAGTCCGCAGTCGTCTCTCCCGGACGTCCAGAATTCTCCCGGGAACGTGAAACTTAGGTATCTTATTCATGCGATCTCATTTTTATGTGTATTAATTTTCCGCACTTTTGGTTTGATAACTTCGTGTTGTATTTACAGTCTTTACTTTCCAAATAACATCAGATATTATATATTTCTTTGAGTCTATAATAATTATAAAATGAAAAGATCTTATTATAAAAAGTAAATAAGTGATTTTAAATAAAATTACTATTAGATTCGTATTGCATTCAGAAATATGCAGATTAAAGTTTATAAAACTAGTAAATTTTCTTATTTTAAATATATTTAGTCAAAGCACTAATTGCGAAACAAGAAAATGCGTATTAAGATCAGTGGCGTAACTATACAGTTAGCGGCCTTTAGCATATTCATCGTATGGGGCCCACTCCCACTCAGTATGAAGAACCTCAACCAACATCCCGGGGGGGGGTGTGGTGTGGGTTCTTTTTTCTGGTTTTTTTTTTTTTTTTTTTTAAAAGCTTTTATTTATTATAAATCACTACATAAAGTAGGTACATAAAACGCTATTATAATTAGTTGATTTTCTAGTAAGTATTAATTTAAAAAACGTACTGGAACACAATACATAATAGTATAGTACTGGACTGAATTTCATTTATTTAACCTACATTTACATTAAAAATGGCTGTCTTCGTGTCATTGAGAGGTGAAATATTTTATTAACCTTAAATTATTTTTAACACTAATAATTTGTAAGATTTTGTGATCATTAAAAGAACTAGGAACATAAGTAGTTTTAGTGGTTATGAAAATTGTCATCGCGCATTATAAAATCATCATTGGAGATTTTAAAATATACGTAAATTTCCGAATGATGCCCAACCGAGTTGAATCCATCGACTGACATCTCGGTCGAAGTTGGACTTACCTAGTCGGACTATGCCGGTATAGGTATGATATGGACGTTACACATGATCTTTGTTTTGTCCATGTTCATCTTAAGACCTATCCGTTGGGATGCACTATTGTGGTTATTGACCATAGTGCTTAGTTCTTCTAGCGATTTTACCATAACGGCTATATCATCGGCAAACGGTGAAGGTGAGTAATGTACTCGCCATTGATGTTAATTCCGTATCCTCACCAATCCAGTAGCTTGAAAACTTATTAAATGTGCCTCAATTGCCACAAGCAACCTCTTTTTACAACAATCTAATGATCTATGCATATACCTATGTATTCTTCCAGTTTATACTCGTGATGTATGTGTAAATCAAATAATGTATGCGTGGAATCTTTCTTAAACTTAAAATTATGCAATACATAAAGTGGGATACCCCGAGAGCTCGCTCCACAACAGAAGTCTTACAGCGAAAATATGAATGAGAAAGCGATAAAGTGGCAAGGATTTTATTACCTACCGAATACGTTCTAAAACTGACTGGGTGATATCTTTTCCAACAAATGTATTAAGATTTTGATACATTTTTTTATTTCACTTGAGTATGTACATTACCTACCTTAAATTAAATGTTGTAAAAGGGTATGTTACAAAATTGAACCCAGAGTACTATCCAATGTAAATGACGTCATAAATCGACGCTGTACTGGTGATTCGTTCCAAAACATAGTAAAGTATATGACGTCATACATTTGCGCCATATTGGCAAAGTGTTGGCGATTATTTTGTCATTTTGTGCTCCAAAAATCATTATAATCCTCCTAGTGGAGATACCAGCAATTATTCTATAATTTTTCGTATTTGAATAAATAAAAACAAATTCTGGCATGCTTCATTCAGCGCACACACAATTAAAAATTGTTTTGTTATGGCCGGATATCCGACGCAATATGGCGGCGGCACGCCAGTACAATATAGTGTCAATTGATGACGTCATTTGTATTCGGCAGTATACTGAAAACGTTTCGGAACATACCCTTAATAAATATTGAGATTCTCTAGTGCTCATGGCCCTCTCGGGGTGGGCGGCGCCTTCCGTCTGGGGGCCCGTGGCATTTTGTCCGGCTGGCCACCCTATTGTTACGCCACTGATTAAGATCCAATATCGATAAAGACTACAGAATTATAATCACTTTCCTAATATTTATAATGTTTAAAGTTGAAATTAAATTTAAAAAAATTCTATCAATTCTTTTTGCTTTTGATTTATTGATGTTTTATGTTTAGGTTTAATTTTAGTTATGTGTTAGGTTTTTCGATTGATTTATTAAAAGATTAATACTAATAGTTGTCCAATGGCATGTTTGTGTGGATTATATTTCTAAATGTTTATTTTGTATGCACTGTCTGTCGATACAAATCACCTGACTGCACTCACAAATCTAACATACGCTTGCAGAGAACGCAACTCACCGCGGAAAAGTAAAAACGCCTCGCGCTACAGCGGCCTCCATCACCCGGTCATTTCCGACCCGGATAAAAACACCCGGCTAACGTGGCACGGGAAAGACGGCCATTCCACTTTGATAAAAATAGACTGGCCCGTTGAGAATTCGTCAGTCAGTAACTTGACAACGAGCACCATTAACTCTAGTCCACTCACTCCCGTCACGCCCGTATATGATCCTCTCGAAAGTGACTCTGAAGTCAGCGAGAACAAACACACGATCAAAATAAAAACCACCGATTGCGATAACTGCGACGAAGAGAAATGTCTGAAGTGCGAACTCAAAGCGACAGACTATGAAAACATGAAAGTGAGCCACGATTTCTCAGAAAGCAACTTGCACGATAGCTTAGAAGCTAGTCCAGTACACTCGATCGACATCAGCTATCAGAATCTTAACAGGCTGTCAGCTGTCTCGACGTCTTCCAACTCTGAGCAGAATTCGGAGAAAAAGAAAGAAAATGAGATAAAAGTGATGACGTCATCACACGAAAGTTCATCAAGTTACTCCAATGTGAGTTTAACCAAACAAGGGGACGAACTTTACGAATTCTTCAATTTCACAAGGCCTAACTACATAAACCTACAGTCTTCGAGCACGTCCAAAAGTTCCCCCGGATCGCCATTAAAAAGTCCGTTAAAATCCACTATAAGCATCACATTTCGTTCACCTACTAAATCAAAAACTCTAGACTACGAACCTATAGACAATATGGATACACCTACAAATGAAAGGGATTCGGTTTATGAGGATATTGATTTGGAAAAGAACTTGTCTATAGTCGAAGAGGCTCCAGTACCCGAAACGGATGCCTGCTTGCCCACGCAACAAGCTTGTCAGCCTAAAGACTTCAGTGAAGACTTAATAATACTCGAAACCCCCACTGAAACAACGGAAGTTGATGATAATATAGATGTATATAGTAAAGTTAAGTTCTTTAAGAAGAGCATAGAAGAAGTCAATGCTATGATTCTAGAGTCACCTGAAAAAGAAAGACACTATGAAAACGTATCATTCTCGGATACGAATGATAAGGAATATGAGAATATTAACGTTGATACTCTCAAAATCTGTGATAAAGTAGATATAAGTGATGTAGATGCAGATAAAAGTTATCAAGGAGGGGAATCTGAAACAGTTGAACGCGATAATGGCAACGTAATAAAACCCGAACTCGTGTCAAAGAATCTCAATGTCAGAGAACTGGCCATACGTTTCGAAAGTCCTACCGAGCAAAAAGGTCCTTTCACATTTGAAAAATATAAAACTGAAATTAAATACCCAACATTAGAAAGAAAAGAAGAAGACAAAAAAACACACACAGACAGAAAAAAGGACGTCACTGTAAAATTACCTCCATCTGTATCCCCACAAACGTACAAACTTTCGAAAAATTCAGCGCGATCATTAGACGAAAATGCGTTCATTAAGGAATTTGGTAACGAAACTAATGACAGGCGTAAAAGTTTAGAAGTTAAAGATGCAAATAAGCAGACAAAAAATCTCCCTGATATGAATCTTAATACAGAAGAACAAGACACAAAAGTCGATAGCATAACACCAACGACAGAAAACAAAATATCACTGGTGCAAAGGTTTGAAATCAAGAAACCAGATTTGAAAAGTCTTATAGGTATAGACACCGAGAAAAAATTAAGTCGTGAAAGGATAGAGAAATATAAAGAGGAACGCAGAAACTTTTTGCGTGAAAAATACAGTTCTCAGTCCTTCAGAAGTAACCCGGAGCAGTTGACGCGAATAAAAATTAAGAAAGATCCAGAAGATAGAACAGAAATATGCGAAAGACTGCAAGAAGATTTACCGAAATTCGAGCGCCGTAACACAGTAGACTTGGGCCAAAGGATGAGATTTTCGCTAGCTAGAAGCACCAACAACTTGGACACAATTCCGTCACCTGTTAGCCCCGTTCAAGACCTGGACTGCTCCTCAAATTTAGAGTATACCAGAAAGAGCGATGACAGTAAGAGGGACAGCATACGTCGAGATGAAAGGTGCGTATGTGCATTTTGATTTTGTTTTATTTAAAATTTGTGTAATAGTTTGTTTCATATTTTCAACCATTTCATTGCAGTTGTGATAAGTGTTGTCTTACTAACGAAAGACTTCAATGTTTCCTACTAGACGGGCACTACGGCACTAAAGCATTGCGCACTAACTTACACTCAATTCTTCGTAAACTCCTTTATACGGATGTCGATTCTTTCCGAAAAAATCATCATTTTTAAATCGATTCAAATCGAAATCTGGTGAATCGATTCACATAAAATCGAGGTTTCAGACCTCGATTTTATGTGAATCAATTAATTTTCAATTTCTCAAAAATCGATCTTTTTTCGATTTGCTTTCACATTAGTAAAAAGTACAGATTACAAACGTAACTTATTTTTCGTTTCTTTAATCCATTAAGAAGAGGCGAAAGAAACAGAACACATAGCAGTTTTGCTAGTTTTTGAATAGAAAAACTGCGCTCCTTAAGATTTTGGGTACATTCAACTAATTATAATTAATTTTATAGTTCTTATGAAAAAGATTCAATGTCAATTTTCTAGGGTGAAATATCGGTTCACTGTCAAATCGATCTTTTTGGGCCAAAAATGGGATTCTTCAATTAATCGATCTCATATCGACATGCCTACTCCTTTAGTCGACTGCGTACGTGCGAGAAGACTAGTTCTTGGTTTTGTAATCCGCGAAAGTTGTTTTCGACAACTTAACACGGATTTTTTTAATGTGACAAGACGATGCTATCGCTGTGCGTTCTTTGTCAACGTGATTTAAATTATAATTCAGATAGACATAACTTTATGTCGTATTTGCCTAAAACGAGTAACTGTCGTAAATGAAAATACAACCGCGTGGCATATTAACCGTGGCAGCTAGCTGCCCAGTCGGCACCCGCGCCAGCCATATCTATCACACAGTGTTTGTTCTGAATTGCCGGTCTAGCAGTACACATATAAGTCTTTTTTAATAACCATTTAATTATACGGAGGTGTAATTTGACGCAAACTCTCTCATTTTAAGTAACAATTAATCCTTTCTTTTATTTATATTTAACCAAATTTTGTTCGTGATTTCTATAAAAGTAAACATATTGTGTGATTGTAAGTAATTAATTTAAAAGCTGAATTGTAAAAATAAATGTAGTATTAATAGAATTCATTTCAAGTCTTAATATATAAGATTAAAATGTTATTAATTGCAAAACAATAAATTGGTATACTTATATAATATTTATAATAGTATGAATATACATGAAGTCATAGTTTTATAATCAAATAACCATCTTATTTACCGTGTTGTAGCGAAAGGCGGTGTTAACCATGTAGTGGATGTCCACTACCCCTTGTCGACCCGTAGGTGACGAAGAGGCGACAGAGGCAAACATTAGGCAGCAGCAGCAACTACTAGAAAATAAAAAATGCTGTCATTAACCTGCATGCCTAGCGTGGCAACTATGGCAATTTTTTTTATAGAATAAGGGTGACAAACGAGCACACAGTCCACCTGATGGTAAGTGGTTGCTGTGGCCCATAGACATCAACATTTGTCCTCGATTACAAAACCAAATGCAGATGCGTTATCACCGGTGAGGACTAAGATGCCTCGTTACCAGTAAAAAGGGTCTCCGGTTCTCTACACTCACCATACAAAATACAGCAGCATTAAGCTACTATTTCACGCTGGTATTCTGTGAGAGCGTGGTCCTTCCCCGGTAAATATTGTCCTTAGGAGACTATTTATAGGGATTTTTTATGGAATAAGGGTAGCAAATGAGCACAAAATCTACTTGAGGGTAAATGGATACTTGTGGCCTATAAATATCTACATCTATTCTCGAATGAGAAACAAAATGCAGATGCGTTTCCACCCCCTGGACTAAGATGGAATGCCTAGTTTGCAGTAAAAATGGTGTCCGGTGTAGAGAACCGGACACCGTTTTTACTAGACTCACCATACGAAAAATAACAGTATTAAGCAACTATTTTACGCTGGTATTCTGTGAGAATGTAGTTCTCATGCACATATGCAGATATAATAATATATTCAGTAGTGAAATTTGATAGAATTAAAGGGGTAGTAAATTCAAATTATATGACATATCTATTTATTATAATTTGATGTTAACTGTAAATAATTATGTAATTTGCAGAAAAGAGAAAGTTTCACCTTCGTACAACATACGCGACATGGCCGCCATGTTCGAGCAGAAGTCGCATAACAGTAATGGTTGACCCCTGACACACGAATCGAGGTTGTACTAAATAGGACATCTTCAGTGGCAAAGGACGGAGACGTAGCTAGAAAACCCTTAAATATGGATCTGAAAATTAAAGGTTTGGGTCACGTTCGAGTTTCGGAACACGTACAGTTAGTGTATAATGAGGAAAATCTAGTATTTAACTTAGAGAGGGCTTTGTCCTACTTTCGAGTTTATTATGTGGGGACCACACTGCGGCTTTATGGTTTCAATGTAACTCGAATAACATTTATTTATTAAAATGTTCTTAAAGTAAATAATAGTAAGAATAGTGATAGTTCCCAGGGGACACGCGCTAACCACGCAAAAACTTTATCTAACTTTATATAATATTTATGTACATTTTTCTAGCTACGTCTTTGTAGAAAATGTTCAAAAGTGATATTTGTGCTTGCGAAAACATGTAAACGCTTATAAAATATACCCGAGCTCTCACATTTATAGATAATTATATTCTGCAACAGTTTGCTTTAGTTTGTAATCGGTACTCGGTCAATGTCGTTTCAAATTACAACTTTATTTGATTTAAATTAAGGTACAGAATTATTTTAATTAATGTTATAAAAGATTTTGTGGATTTCTTTTGTGATTACCAAGCAAATTAATGCAATGGAAAGTTACGTACCCCGTTACATTTCAAAATATTTTTAGTTATTTGTTGAAAATGAAATTTTTTGTCTTCCCGACGACTAATAAATATATGATAATAATATACAATTTAGGGTATAAGACATGAATAATATTTAAACATATTTCCATTTCGCTTTTTCGCATTTGTCTATGAATAGAAAATTTAAAATCATCAGAATTTTTGTGACATTTAAAAATAATGACTTTTTAGTTAGCTATTGCATTGTTAATTTTACTTGGAATTAAAATTTAGTTCATATTAAAGAAGTTAAAAAATAATTTTAGAATGCGGTAGGAAGGACCATATTTCGATGGCACCAAAGTAATTATGTAATGCAGACTATATAGTTGTTTTGTATTGTCGTATAAGACTTTGAGGCAATCAGAGTCATTTTGGCCTAATACTTTTTAAATACTGAGAAGGTTCTAAAACAGGGAGTGAAGTGGGCACCATTAATTTTGTTGTTTGTTGTGAAATAAGTTGTAAGACTAAGCATTGCGGTATTTCTAGTTTTTTATTTAATTATAAAGTTACAATGTAAATAGGAAATTTATGCGTATTGCACCTAGTATGTATTAAATGAATAGCGCGTTCACAATTTGTAAATAATTTGTTTTCTATAGAAATTTGCGCTTGTCGACTGGTTAAAATTTTTTTTCGAGATTTTGTACTTAAAACATGTTTAAAAAATATTACAATTAAAAACCACGCTATCAAAAGCTTACAGTCTCATAAATATAAATAGTCTTGGTAATCCAAAACTACTTCATCTACAAAAATTTTATTTCGACTATATTCGATGATTGAATTTCTGTTAAATCAAAAAATCAAAATGTGTAAATTTAGTTAGATATGACATTTAATTAATATGTTGACAAATTGGATGACAGCTATCAAAATGACAATATCTCATTGATAAGCAGCGTTATGTCGACAAGCGTACCACGTTGGTTGTCAAATATAAGTTGTTATAATTATTTATTTATTATTGTAGTCTCAAGATCTAATAATCTCTCATCACACACACTCACACACTTAGTATTATTATTTTTATAAAATATTGATTATGCACGTTTTCTTTTGTTGACTGTACTTTTTGTTAATTTCTTATGACCTATGTATTTTGAAAGGAGTAAGCTTAAGAGTAACAGTTTATTATGTTAAGTAAACATTAATAATTATGAGTTAAATATAATTGATAGTAAATTCGCGACATTGTGGTAAATGCTAATTTAGTTAATGGCAAGTCGATTAAAAAAGGTTACGACGAAGGGATATTTAAACTTTTTGAAAGAATTTAGAACGCGTAAAAAATCTCAAACGTTAACAAAAATGAATATTTTGTTCACTCGGTTGCAATTGATTAGCAAGTATTTCCTAATGTTTTTGCGGGATTTAAAATCACGCTATTGGTGAAATTTGAGTTCTTAGATTAGTCAAACTTTAAAATATCAACATTTTTTAAATATTAATTACATCATGTCATTAAAACATACAAAACACAATTTTAAAAACTCGTACAATCCTTTAAATACATGAAAAGTTTGTAAATTTGAAGCATCGCTATAGGAATCTTACATGTGTTGCCGTGTGTAAAAGAGCAGTAACAAATGCATTTATTACTATATTTTTGTATGCGATATTTAATATGCTCTCTAGAGTTAGACATTCTGGTGACTTGTTGGGTTTGAATGATTAATTACCTATATAATTTAAAACTCAATTTGTATTTAGCTAATATCTGGTTTGTCTGATACCGCATTTTATTTCTTATAGGCATTAAAATAAAAAAATATTCGACCCATGTAACTGTAAAATAAAAATATGTTTTAATGTATAAACAAGTGAAAATGAATTTTAATTAAACGAACACAAGTGGACAATAATCATTGAATTGAGTTTGTTAGATATTTAAAAGTGAATTGGGATTCTGCTAAAACGTCTAAAAATATTGTTACTAGGACGGCGTATTGACGCAATGTAATGAAATGATGAGAAGCTCTGCCAAGGTGAAGAGGTTCTTTAAGTTTGCGGTCATTGATAGTAAGAACTTGGCTTGGCTGTACCGCTAAATGACTAGTCTTGTTTCGCATAAATGAATTTTGATGCTTTTATTGATGAGCTTATTCGATCAGTTTTAGACTAACTAAAACACTTTACTGAAACGAAGAAATTAAAAAACAAAGAACTAGTCTTCTCGCCCGCTCGCAGCTGTCCAAATGTGTTATGGAGAAATACCGCAAATTAGAAATTAGAGTTAAATTTATAAAGGCCGTAGAGCCCATCTAGAAGTATGATAAAAAAATAGTGTTCAGAGTATTGTCTTAACTTCTTTCGCGAAAATACGTCGTCCATGTACTTTATTGTATTCAAAGGATTAGTAATAAAGAATTTTAAAACAAGTACTTCCAAAAATAATTGTGCATTTTTCTATAATACATTTTACGAGGTAAGGTAGTCGAAAAAATAGTTAATAATGAATTTCAACACTATGGAAATTAAACATTATGGAAGCCATTTATAAATTGTATGAGTGACTTCTATTGGATGAGTAAAAATTTCAAAATTAAAATATTTTTTCGATTTCCTCATCTCTACAAATAACAGACTGTGACTCTGCCAAATAAATATCATGTAGACTATTTCCCCATTTTGTAAACCCCTTTTAAAACGTAATATTTATAATAACTACCAGCTCTGTAACATACCTAACTCATTGTATGCGATTTTCAGATTAAATATTTGTAACTGTAAGTACCTTTGTAAAATATTATATACCTAACTTGCACAGAAGCGGGACCGTGTTGGGATCATTTTAAGTATATTTTTAAAATATAATACCTCATCGTATTCATATTGTTACATTGTCATCCGAATTCGAGCTATATTCAAAATTTCAAGTCTAGCTCATCGGGAAGTTAGTTTAACATCGTTTACTAACCACCCGTGCAGACATATACGAAAGCGAGTTAATAAAAACGTGGTAAATCAAGACGATTGAATAATGGGTTACTATGAGGTCAATCTGTGTTTAATATCCGAAACTGTTTATCGATCTAAAAACGTCAGTTATTGCAGTGTCGATCTTTTTTTATTATGTTGAAAAGTTGTCTAATATCTGGAGACAATAGAGTTGCCATATTTAAGCTATGTTACATATAAGTGGTCTTATTTTTCATGAAAGCTATAATTTTTTAAAAGGCACAGTCCTGAATACGGTCCCGTGTTACAATTGTAAAAATGAGCTTTAAGCGAATGTGGACGAAGTGTCGCCACAGCCCGGCTTGTGACGTAGTGTAGCTGCGGGATAAGTGATTATACACAATAAAAAGTATTATCAAATCTGTGCGGTGTTTATTTCTGCGCCATTTGTCCGTTGAAAATAGAATAGAATTGAATAATTTTTATTCAATATATATAACATGTAATTCTTATTGAGTCATTTTTACTTTTACCACTGGTACGGAAGAAACCTCTGTCCCGGGAAGAACCAGCAAGGAACCCAGCGGGACTTTTTTTTTCAAAGTAAATTATACAATAAGAAAGGTTGTACAAACAATTTGCAAAAATTTATTTTAAAATCAGAAACGATCACCTTTAGCGACCATTTATTATACAGGGTATTTTTAAACGCTCCCGAAAACGAAGACAGATGATAGTATTAAGGATACCTTTGAGGATGAGATAAAAAGAAATTTGATCCCGATGAAAAAAAGTCATTTTTAAACGTTTAATTACCTTTATTAACTAAAAAAACGATAATTTCATAAAAAAATCATGAAAATACCTAAACATAAAGCCAGCAGTGAAACTTCAATACCTCAATACCTGAAACTTAAATCAGCTGATAAAGTGTCAAAAAACGCGCGACGCCGAACGCCGGCACGCAGCGCACGATCGTACCAGTACCTAATAATTTACAACACTAATTGTCTACATAGAGTATCTTTTCTTATCTAAATACCTAACTTATCTACTTAACTTACTGTTTTGCCACTGTGCTAGTCTCCACATAGCCACTTTAATTCGAATTCACAGGTTAAATAAATCAAATAGGTACCTGGTTCGATTCCCCACTAATGAAAAATTTACTTAAATGAAATTTACTACACTACACACCCCTGTTTATTATTCTGATAAATTCAGTTACGTACCTATTCACATCAGTGTATTTCTTCAGTTCCACAGGCTGTTTCTTGTAAATGTGAACTCGTTCGTCCAGATGACGTGCTCTATGAAACCAGGCACACGTTGCTGGTCTAATAGCCAACGGCAGAAAACTGAAACTAAAGCTTGCACTTTGTGCATTTTGTATGGTCGCATTCGGTTACGCTTTAACACTT